GAATATCCTTCTGCTCTACGGTATTCGGAGGGGATATCGCCGTGATCCCCAGCATGGCTGTGGCAACCCCAAGAATGTTTTCATTTTACTCTTGAATTTCCCAACGCGAGAGCTAGCTTCTAGCTCCCGAAAACTCGGTGTCAGCCTTGACTTCGTGTGGAAGTTGGCAAGTTGATAGAAGATATCTAGCGATGTCAACGTTGGGGGGGTAGTCAAACGCTCAAATTCCTGCCCCACCAGCAGAGGGCAAAAAAAAACCCCCCGAACAATTGTTAGGATTTCAAAAGTTACGAAAAACTCTTAAGGAAACAAAACCTCCCTAAAATTTGCGACCCAAGAGCCACAACCGTATCTAAGAACCAACACACGTGCAGATCTAGCAGCTTCTTATGAGGGCCCCACTAACGACGGTGGGTAGGTTAACCTAACGTCTACATCAAAGTGGTATTGGTCGAGGAGATCTTACGACACGACAAGTTGAAAGCACGCACACCACGGTATTTGACTCAATCGAGTTGCGCCTAATCAGGGAATATTCTAGAGAACCAAAGGGGGACGAATACTCGAGTATGACACTCGTACGGACTAAGGAATTTTCCTTGCTAAAACATCGACCTGAGGGGTCATGATCTGCCTTACCGCACAACAGGTGAACATCCATCCCATCTCCATCTGCTTGGCTGATCGAATTTTTTTTGAGCCAAGATGCGACCTTCCGAGAGCTAACATCGCTGCTTCCCCATCATGATACTAGTGAGTGTCATACAAACTCGAATACGCTAATCAAGCCAAGATGGAGCTTCCTCCTCCGATAGGTCTACCTGCGCGAGTATCGTACAGGTAGACGAGCTGACTAGCTCTCCCTCTTCCCCCTCCTTCTTTTTGCTATTTTTCGCTCCTCTCGAATGTGGAGGATTTTACCCTGTTTAGTCCCAGACGTTGACCAACACCCAAACAAGAGCTGCGTGATGACATCTTGCCGGGAGTAAGCGAATTGGATATCATTATCTCCAACACCATATGTCGCACCGGTTCCATAGGCGCACTGGATTTGCGGGTCATAACCCTCGAGATAATTTCACTTTGCATTGCTTCAAATAATTCTAGCCATCTCCAACCTCCATTTGGATGAGAACCCGGTGGATTTGGGGTTATCTGGTTCAAGGGGCCATCAACAAGCGAATTTGTTGCGCAATAAAACAAAATCTTTCCTAGCTCTAGAGCGCATTGTAGTGGTGTAACTTAGGGCGCATTAGCTTCTTGTCCCTGCCCGGCAGAGCTATCCATACACGCCCTAACTTATGGCAGATCGTCACCAAATTCTGACCCCCTCCCTTATTGATCCACACTTTACGTGTACTCGTACTGTACTCACCCAGCCGAGTTGAAGTCGGACACTGTGGATGTCTAAGATTCACGATCCAGCCCGAGACCAAATGTATTGAGGGGCACCTAAACTTTTGGTGAAAAGAAATAAACTTCGAGCTTCCTATCAAAATTCGGTAGTCGGCGTTTTTCTTGGTAAGGGCTCACAAGTAGGACACGTGCTACCCATTACGGGCTTCAGTTGAGAAATGGCGGTTCGAAGCAATGATGCCGCTGGGCGCAAGGTTTCCGGGGTGCAGGTCAAATGAAGTAAGGGGTAGAAAAACACTAGGCGTTTTCAAAGTTAAAAAGGCAGAAATTTACCATATTACTTTACCTTACCATACAACACTCTTTTTTCTGGTAGAGACAGAGGTCTGGAGGTCCATAATGGCTACAGGACTCTGTTTAACCGAACCTTACCAAAACCTAGAAACAATATACATCAAGCACACAAATAAAATTGAAAAAAATAAATATAAATATAAATATCGTCAATGACTCTAGTAACAATTATCTACATTCTGTGGCAAATATGATACCCCAAACATATGAGGACCCGATTAACTAACGTTATATAGTAACCTAACTTAATGCAACTTCCCGCTTTAGTAGTTACCGAAAAATCATCTTTTCAACTTTGAAAACCCCTACTGCAAAGATGAGGCATCCCGCACCCACGACTCTGCATAAGCCCCCATTCTCGTACTATGCAAACACTAAAGTATGATATGATATCATTTGAGGCCATCCCACAAACCCCGGATTGTAGGGGAGTTTAGCATGTCTGGGAGACTGCTTGCTGAGGCAATGAACGTGGGATGCCTCCCTAGCCCTAGCCCTATTGCGCTCCTGGGATTTAACAACAGAGTCTACTCGTACGATATGCGGATTGAGATTAATAGCGATTACGGGCCAGGAATCATAGGAGAGGTATTCTAATCCCAATTGACCCATCATAACAAAACATTCGGCCCCACTTCCTCCCTTACCACTCCCCCAAAACCCAATGTTTTTTCCCCCTTCACTCCTTGGTGATCGCCCTAGGATCTGGGCTTTGTATTCCACTTTAAACATTTACTCCACGATCTTTTGCTGTCTTCTGAGAAGCATTCAAGACCAGATACTCTCTCGCCGGATACTGTACAACGGCAGTATAGCCCTCGATGTGAGGGGAATGATCTTCGGGTATCCTGGCCTAGCGAGCCGTACCCCGGACCTGCTAAACTCCCTTAGTGTGGCAAGCAACAGGTGATGGGTAAATCGACAGGCTCGAGTAAGGGACGGCCTGTCGATCGCTAAGTAAGCGTCGCCGAGCTCCATAACGCTTGCCGCGGTGCTTTTTCGAAAAAAAGAAATATTTTTCGGAAAACCCTCAGATTGCCCTCAGCCCTTTCGGATTGCGGTGAGGGCCCGATTTGTCACCGCCCCAGTGTTTTGTGTCTTTACTTTGGCACGTCATAACAGTCACCGTATTACCGCAAAGGTTAAGCGCAGCGTGAGTAGTCATGAACGAAACATTCGGAGGGGAAAGTCTCCATCGTCCACGAGTTTCCCGTGCTCATTCTAGGCAACCAACTCAAGCTCAAGATGACAAAGCCACACCTCCTTCTACTCGTAGATGCGCTCCAGTACTAGTCAATGTTAGCCCGGAACCCCGAAGCCCACCCCTCCAAGTCCGCCCAACGTCGCAGCAAACACAGCAGTCACATAGTTAGGGATTGCTAAAGTATCTCTGCGTCGCAAGATCCCTCGATTAAGTTTCTATACTGGATTTCTTTAAATTTAGTCTGATCGCTGCCATCGGGATCAAGATTTGGGCAGCACAACTTCCACCAATAGAGAGTTTGCGTAGTCTAACCTCGGTGGGAGCAATTTACAGTGGTGCTCCAAGTGGTTGTCAAGCAAGCACATCAAGAGCCCAACAAATGTCGAGGTTCTTAAACTCGGTCCTTCCATGTGACGATACAGTGGCCTAAGTTATCCTCTAGCACCCCGAAACCGCTGTCGTTAGGATTGATCTTAAGGAGAACGGCCGTAAAATCATACCCTAATGAATGCACAAAGGCGGCGCGGAAGCGGGCATTGAAGGTCTCGATTCCGGGTCCCGTTCCGTTCTTTTTACACCTCTCAAATATAGGATCAATGAACCAGGTCGCGAAGCATTGTCGTTACCAATTGTACAAGTATCGCGTTGAAACTAGCAGGATAAAGTGAAATTATGCCGTTATCAATTGGGCTCGTTTGCGGCTCCTTTCTCAGGTAGCTTGGCCTCCTTCAACCAGATTCGGTCCTCTCTCACAGCTGAGTCTTTGGTCCATTTGTTACTCGTCTGTAGAGTAGAGGTATTTAATTTAGTTTCCCGTATCTGGCAGCTACATGTACAGTACTGTACTCCAGTATCGTATTAAATATTTTTCCACCCAAAGCCCTCACACCGTCCCCCAATTCCCCTTACAGCTCGGGGCAAGCCAGAAGAGGTGGTTCAACTAATATTAGCTCTGATTAATTTTTGCTTTATAGTGTATAAAAAATACCATAGTCAAATTTGACTTGAACGTTCTTAATTTGCAATCTACTACCGGTAATATACATACCGGTTGGTGTAGAGGAATCAACCCCTTTTGAAGAAAGTTCATTGTCTTACAATTTATTGATAGAGAGAGAGAAACACAACTTTCTAGCAGTTTTTTTTTCTTCGAACCTGAATAGCGATATTTTTTTTCCTCCGCTTGATGGAACTCACTCAAGGATTAAGTTTAGTTAGTTGCACCGAGATTAGGCAATGAGAACTCATATTGGATATGATATACCAACAGACATGGAGACAAAGTGTTCGCCATTGCAATTAACCGACCGATTCATCCCTATTTATTATATTAAAATTTTATATTAACCCGATATAAAAAATGGACCCTACTCTACTATCGTAACCTATTCCTCTAAAAACCGAAATGATCGGACCTCATTCCAAGACGTCCAAAATTCCCCCCCCTCTGTTCCCAGTCGTCCAGTGTCGACGGCAGTCAACTAAAATTGGTCAATGTACCCACTGCCGCCCAGTAAGACACACTTGCGCTACAATAATTTAAAACAAAAATAAGGTAAAACAAATAAAATTGTAATGGGGTAATATGGTATCCATAAAAGGAAACCCAGGACTAGTGCCGTCCGACTGCCGTCGTCCTGACCCCGTCTATGATAGGATGGACTGGACGACTGGAAGCACTGCTCCCCCCCAACCCGACTAGGAGAGGCAACTCCAACGCCCATGTCCGGGGTCCAATTATTCGAGTCCTTGCAGTCCGATTGCTTATGTTTTGTTGGCAGAACCTATTTTTTACCGAGTACTGTACTGTACTGTACAGTACTCGAGTACCGCACACGAACCCACAGCATCATAAGACATCACTAGCTGATATTTTAATACTCGCTTAAGTTCCCCACCTCCTCACTACCCTCTCTCGTGCGTTCCCCACTCTCTAGTGATCCTCTACTCTAATACGAGTACTTTCCGCCCGCTTCCCCACACAATCCAGCTGGCAATTCCTTTTTTTTTTTTTTTCATCTTCAACTCTTCTTCCCTTTATTCTTTCTTTCTTCTCCAACGAATTGTTTTTTGAAACGGGTTGGCTATGTCACTCAAAGCCTTTCCTACCATTAAAGCCATCAGGAGCTATGTCACCCAGGGTGTTGGCTCTGGTGGTGATTACCACAATGTAGCTAGCGGTCACTGGCGAGTTCATGTTTGCATCATCCTACCGATCTTGAGACTAATATCTACAGGCTCGTCGATACTCCCATCGCGAACCCTATGTCCCGTTATGAGCAATACAAGTACTCACGAACGTCGTGGGGAATCAACGTCTTGGGTTCATTGTTTGTGGTGATTGAAGCAAGTGACGGAACAACGGGTTTCGCCACCGGCTTCGGCGGCCCCCCAGCCGCTTGGATCATCCACAACCATCTCGAGAGATTTCTGGTCGGCGCCGATCCACGGAACTTGAACCTCCTGTGGGATCAAATGTTTCGTGCAACCATGTTTTACGGCAGAAAGGGTTTGCCTATTGCTACCATCTCTGTCATTGATTTAGCACTCTGGGATCTGCTTGGCAAGATCAGGGGAGAGCCGGTTTACAAGATGATTGGTGGGGCAACTCGGGAAAGACTTTCCTTCTACTGCACTGGTCCCGAGCCTGTTGCGGCTAAGGAGATGGGCTTCTTTGGGGCAAAGGTGCCGTTACCCTACGGACCTGATGACGGCCATGAGGGATTGAAGAAGAATATCGAATTCCTGAAGAAGCATCGCGAAAGCGTTGGCCCTGATTACCCACTTATGGTTGATTGTTACATGGCTTTGACCGTCCCCTACACTATCCAACTCGCTACCGCAACCCTGGACCTCAACATCAACTGGTGGGAGGAGGTTCTCCACCCCGATGATTCGGACGGTTTCGAGAAGTTGAAGCAGGCATTGCCCCAATTGAAGTTCACAACTGGAGAGGTTCGTACCCCCATCAGAGGCGAAATATCATAAGCATCTTGCTGATTGTCGCAAAGCACGAATACACAAGATATGGCTTCCGTAAGCTAATTGAGGGACGTAACATTGACATTCTCCAACCGGATGTGACGTGGGTGGGAGGTTTGACAGAGCTTCTCAAGGTCACTGCCCAGGCAGCGGCATACGACCTCCCAGTCATCCCCCACGCATCCGGCCCCTACTCGTACCACTACGTGGTCTCACAGCCAAATTGCCCCTTCCAGGAATATCTGGCTAATTCACCGGACGGAAAATCTGTCTATCCTGTATTCGGCGATTTGTTCATTGACGAGCCGATCCCGACGAATGGATGGATTGACGTTAGCGTCCTGGACAAGCCGGGTTTCGGTCTTACCCTCAACCCGAAAGCTCGGCTAATCGAGGCTTCCCGTCTCTTGAACCCCGCTCCTGTAAAGTCGTTAAAGGCGCCAGAAGTGGAGAAAGAAGCACCCACTGTGAGCGGAGCACCGGGACGCTAATATAACGGTAAGCAGAGCGCATTCAGAGGCGGTTTGTAAGATGTAAGCCCTTGCATAAATCACAAGACGAATTCCTTGGGCCGTTTCCCCGTTTCCCGCCCACCTTTTTTATTTTTGATTCTTATTTTTATTTTCACGTTTTGCTTTTCATTTTTAGGAATTTTTGCCTCTCGTGTAGTCAGCATGGAATTATCAGCGGAAGTTAAGCAATTTATCCGAATGTGGGGAATGGGAAGACTTCTCTGGAGCCGCAGCAACCCCAGCGCATAATAACCGCTCTCCTCGAGTATATTGACAGCTTTTCATGTGGGGATTAACCCAGCCAAATCTGGGGTCTTAGTATGTATCTTGGCCAGGGAGTGGAATTTCTCCGTGAAGTGTCAATCACGTGATTTATTTAATTGAGCCTCTCCCCCGCAGTATGATAGCTCTACTCCATAAAGCCGTTTACCCCTTAGAGATATAGGCACCTAGTATTAGCTACCATGATATGACAATATAGATGATGTTGGAATATTGTCCCTGGGTTTCGATTTCATACCTACTATTGGTTTCCTATATGATCTTCACGAACTTTCAGTTATACCTTACTTGATGTCTGAAACTGTTATCACCCTGTTGTCTCCGTACTGTTTCCTCTCTATCTCCTTGCAGTGAAAATTTCTCTCTTGTTTCTTTTCTGTTTCCTTGTTGTTTCAAAGGGACAAGACTTTAGTCCCCTTACCAAAGATGAAAATTTTCATCCACACAGGCACCGGACAAGATGTAGATCATCTTGGGATAAAAGGGCCTTGCTATCTACTTAGAAATGATATGCGAATTCTGACCTTTCAATCGAGTGTCTAAGAAAATCTCCTGCTGGTGTTTTTATCCATCATTCCTCCGTCTATACTTTTCTCTCCTCACGTTACCAAACGATTTATTTTACTTCAGATGAGGTTCCCATCATAGGTTATGTTGTTAAGCAAATGCCCTAAAACACCGACTTGACTTATACCACGCAAGCTTCAACCTATCGGTATTACTCGTATACAACCGCCAGCAGCAACAAACACAATATGTCCAAACTCCTCCAAGGCAAAACCATAGCGATCACCGGTGCTGCAACTGGCATCGGCAGAGCCGTAGCCATCGAGATGGCACGTCAAGGAGCGGACATAAGCATTGGCTACCTAGGACCTATCCAAGACTCGTCGGTGGCCTCCCTCCGCGATGAAATCGAGTCAGTGCCCATCTCCCGCCAATTCCTCGCAATCCCAGGGGATATTTCAGACGTGGAGACCAGCAAGACGTTAATCAAGTGCACGGTCGAAAAGTTCGGCAAACTCGATGCCTTCGTCTCGAATGCTGGCGTCTGCCAATTCCACGACTTTCTCACCATGCCAAAGGAACTCTACGACAGGACGGTAGCGGTGAACCTCAACGGCGCCTTCTACGCCGTTCAGGCCGCCGCGAATCAAATGGTCTTGCAGGGTACCGGCGGCAGCATAATCGCCATATCCTCTATCAGCGCGCTGGTGGGGGGGGCCGGACAGACGCATTATACCCCGACGAAAGCTGGTGTCCTGTCGCTAATGCAGAGCTGTGCTACGGCATTGGGAAAGCATGGGATTCGCTGTAATGCGATCCTGCCGGGGACTATCAGGACCGCGTTAAACGAGGAGGATTTGGCGAATAAGGAGAAGAGGGAGTACATGGAGGGGCGGATTCCGCTGGGGAGGACGGGGGTCCCCGAGGATATTGCGGGTCCCGCGGTGTTTTTGGCCAGCGATTTGTCGAGATATATGGTTTGCTCCCCCCTCCCCGCCACCACACACCACCCCCGGGGGGATTCCGCTAATCGCGGGGCTTGAGTAGACTGGCGCGCAGCTGCTTGTTGGTGGGTTTGCGGTCTCTTGTGGTTTCAGTAATGCTAACTGTGCGCAGATGGGGGGCTATTCGTTAATTTACAGTAGCTTCAGTTCCGAGGATTAGTTTACTGTTCAGATACTATGTATCTTGTATTTTCCTGCTTTCTCCCCAGAACGCCAACTCTCGTTCTTGAGAGATGACAGCCTAGATCATGAACTGCATTATATCCGTACACAAGGAGGCCCCTAGAGAAGGCCCTCGTAAACCCTTCCAGCATGTTCAACATAACACCAGTAACATTACTTGTAAGCTCTCACTATGAGTACTGTACTTTAACTTATCGCAAATCCTCAGAAGGCTTCTGTCCGGCAACTTCCGAGGAGCCGCACATCCAGCATCTTATTACAACGAGCCCAGCCCAACCCCGCTTATCCACCCCGCAACTCCATACTCGGTGTGCATCCATCCCCGGAGTAAGCCCACTAAAAAGGAAAACCTGCCGCTTAGCGATATACTTCCGAAGGTGCTGTTACTCACTCGAGATCGCAAATCCTAGCCCTTCCCCTCCAGCTATCCCCACTTACATTTCATCTCATCACAACATCGTGGTTCAAAGCAATCCCACTCTCAACACAAGAGCCGCAGACCAAGAAAACCAACTAACACTATGGCTCCCTCATCACCCCCTCCAGCCGGAATCTACGTCCCAGTGCCAACCTTCTTCCTCCCACCCTCCTCCGAAAACTACAACCCCCTCACACCGCCTTTGGACCTGGACGCCCAGGCCAGCCACGCACTACACCTCGCCCGCTCGGGAATCACCGGGTTGGTACTTCTCGGGAGTACCGGTGAGGCGGTGCACTTGACGAGAGCGGAACGTGTCGCCCAGATCAAGCACGTGAGAGCAGCACTTACTGCCGGAGGGTTCAAAAACTACCCGTTGATAGCGGGGACGGCAACGAATGGAATTGAAGAGACGGTGAAATTGCTCAATGGGTCGGCGGCGGCGGGCGCGGGGTGGGGATTAGTGCTTGCACCTGGATACTTTGCCGGAGCGGTGAGTGAGGAAGGGATAGTTGGGTGGTATAGGGGCGTTGCAGATGGGAGTAGTATCCCGATTATGATGTTTGTTGTCCCCTCATTTCCATAAGTTTGGACGCTAACCAAGATGCATAGCTACCACTATCCCAGCGTCAGCAACAACGTCAAGCTCCCTCCCAGCATCTTCCGCACCCTGGCCTCGCATCGCAACATTGTCGGCGGCAAACTCTCGCACGGGGACATCTCGGTCCACGCACAAATTGCCCTAGACCCGCAAATCGACCACAAAAACTTTCACCTTTTCACGGGTCTCGGCCAGCAGCTTTTCCCAGCCCTGCAGGTCGGTTGCAGCGGCGCGATTGATGGTCTCGCCGCAGTATTCCCCAAAACGGTGGTGCATATATACACCCTCGTCACGCAGACAGACCCGCTTGATAGGGAGACACTGGAACGAGTTCGCGAGTTGCAGTATCGGATCAGCCGTGCAGAGGAGTTGATTGTTAGGTTTGGTGCTGTGGGAATTAAGGAGGCAGTTAGCCGTGTATTGAACTTTGGAGAGCCAGATGGTGGGAGACTGCCGTTGGCGCGGGGAATGGGGTATGGGGAATGGGAGAGGTGGAGTGAGGAGATGACAGAGATGGCGAGAATTGAAATGGAGTTGCAGACTTCCTAGTCCGCTGTCATTTGGTGGGATGGGTTTGGATGGGATCAGAAATTTGAGTTCATATTTTGTCACCCGAACTATATCGCCCGGAAGAATAGTGGTGTCACGTACTACTTTCCTGGGGGGTAAAGATCTGGTGTTGCCAAATCATCTCATTGTATCCGATAAGCTTAGTTCTATGAGAGCTTAATTATAAAGAAAAATGCCGAAGAGGGGTTTGGCCTCTACATAGTGCCTTTCATTGATCCTTTACGATATCTTTGTTTAACCCCCAAATTAGCTGTGGCCTCACACTACCGCTGTGGCCATAGGTAGCACAATTCTCCACCGAACGCCACATTTCCACACTCCGTGTATAAGTCTTAATATCACTACCGCACAATCGACCTCTCCATATCTCCATTAAAGGATAGAAAGCAGGAAAGAAGGAAATGTTTGCCCATAGGATAAGTCACCGTGAGTAATACAAATGATCAATTCCCGAGAAGAAAAAATATCACTAATCCTTGAGAAAAGGGTTACGCAGTATCAGGTTACGGGGAAAGTACTCGAGTAGAAAACGAGGAAGAAAAGAAAAAGGCGAGCCTATTTAGGATCAGCATGGGAGACCTCTCTAGTCTGTGGCTATCATACCGGTCGTCCACTGATTTGCACGTAGTTGCAGTCACTGTGCTCCCAAGAACGGGAGAGGTGTGTTACATTTTCCACCCAGCCACACATCTGTACATTCGTCAATGTTAACAGAATTTCAGTGACATCTAGCCCCTGGAGAATGGGGGGGTGAGGGGGCGAATTGCAGGTCAGCCCGAGGGGGGAAAAGAAATATAACCTCATATAATACGGCCTATCCGCAGCTGCGAAAAATAGTTTGTTCTCCAACTCAACTCGTACTCTGTGCCACTGACAGGTCCGTTGACTATTCCCCACTTCCAGCATCACGGGACTGTTCGCGGCTGCTGGATTCACTAACAATGTGATCGGCCAGATATGACTAACCGACCATAACTCGAGTGATCCCAAGTGATACGGATTCCGGCCAATATCCCCACCCGAAATCCCGCTGGCCCCGTGATATTGGGGGTGTTGTACTGTCTAGGCAACCGGGCTCTTAGGAGATCACTAGAACCCAATTTTCACTATTGTACTGTACCTGTGACTTATGTGGTGTTTTGCCTCTTTTCTCCCCCCACCCGCGCAACTTAGCAAAGCACTATACCCCTTCCTTGGTATCAAAAGCTCGCGCGCTTGCTTAAGATCGACGAAATTCAGATAAAGTGGGAGGGGTAAATCGCCAGGATATCCTCGCTTCCCGAAAAATTCGGGGCGCTGTGGGTTTGGAAGTGGTGAAAGTTTGTAGAGTTATCTCATTTCGGTGTCCGAAAAATGGATAGAATAGAAAAGATCTCCTTTTGGGGTTGTGCTGTATGCCTCCTTAGTATAGGCTGGGTACGTTAAGAGCCACAGTTTGCACCCCTCTCAGGGCGAGGGGGGGCCGGTATTTGCGGGGAAAGAAGCACAAGCAGTTCGGACTAACGAACCGGAGCATTGGATAGGGGAGTGGCCCGGACATGGGATTCCGGAAGTGGATCTGTTAATCGGTCGGTTCGTATCGCGCTGGTGAAAAGGAGAGGAACGGAGAGGGGTCCGGGGAAACCTCAATTGGCGTTCAATAATGGATTGGTTGGGAGAACCTCAGAAGAGTGTGAAGGAGATCTTCTAGATTCTGCATTCATCTGGTGGGCTGGTTTCCCACCTCCTTTCCCCCTAGTTACTAGACTCCGGTAGCGATCTGCGGTCTCTCGTGGCCAGCAAGAGTGGGTAAAGAGAATAGAGATTAATTATTCGGTAAAGACCCGTTCCGGTAACAAGGTAGGAAACGGTAGCAAGAATAGAGAAGCTACTAACGAAAGCGATATCCCCGCAGAGTTGTTCCGAGTTCATCTACAGGCCCGGGAGCCACAATGAATCACCAAACGCCTAAAAAAGATACACATGAGATAGAAGGGGAGAAACAAGAGGAGGAGGAGGAATAGGCATCACGCTAAATCCACTGCTGCTAACCAGGACTTCACTCGAAAGTGGAATAAAGATTTATAAAGGGTTCGAGGAGAGCGCCTCCTGCTAACGTGCCACCCGCTCTTGAAAAGAGGTAAAAGGAGCATGGGTCGAGAAACCAGTAGCCCAGAGACGAAATGGATATCCTTCCACTATATTCCCGAGGTACAGAGTAATTTTCACAACATGTTTGCTCCCCCTTTCTCACTCCTTATTGGGAGGCTCTCGGGGTGGAAGGTAGGGAAGAAGGCCAGAAGGGAGGTACGGGTATAGTTAAGCCAAAGCACGTTCCTCCCGGAATTCATTTGCAGGGTAAAAGTATATTCGGAAGGAACTCACTTAACCGCTATCCTCTTTCCCACAGAGTGACGGGCAAATTTGGCCCCACTCTCGGAAAGCAATTACCCCGACGCTCGAGAACACACTAGTTAGCGTCTTTCTGCACGTAGCGATTGAAACAAAGTCAAGTTTTGTCCATTATAGCTTACAGCTGAATACTTCCGCCCTCTTACGCTTCTCTATTTGATGCCATACACCGTGCGACCCACACCTGACAGCTTATCAGAGATCCGGACGAGTGATAGCAAGTGACGGTCTGCAATGCAGTACATGACTCGGGACTACCAATTGCATGAGTTGCGCTAGCTCACGCCATGTGATAGAGCTGACACTTCAAGGGGCATGTCCGGACTGGAAAGTTTAAGTCAGTACCGACCAAGTTAAGCATCAAGCCACTCGTATCATTTATAGAGAGGGGATGTAACGGAAGTTCCCCCACCAGGGAGAATTTCACCACAATCGGTTATTTCTGACTGCGTGATATAGGCAGACTCCCGAAACCAGCCCGGAATATTCAATATATCTGTTCTATCACAAAAATGAAAGATTACATATCTAAAAAATAAAATAAAAAATAGTGAAGGAGCACGGCTGTATTTCAAAGGGGGTGGGGGTAAACTAAGGGGGCGATGGGACGAGGAGGTGGTGGCGGCTGTAGCGGGGAATTGGATAAGTTGTTCTGGGGTAGAGTCGGTACGGATGTACGGGAGGTGGATGGACGAAGGCGTATTTTTGCGATGGGTGGGATAGTGTAGTACCGGTGAGGTGAGGTGAGGTGAGGATAGGCTAAGAGGGAACTTTTTGGAGTGAGAACAGAAATGTGAAGCACGCATACAGAGGAGATCTCCATTGGTTTTAAACCTTTGGCAGAAGCCTTGAATATATACAGTACTCCAAGTCACTAGTGTTGCCCTTCTTCCGTCTCCCGTCTCCCACATCTGTTCACACAGTGGATTAAACGTCACCCCCCCCCCCCCCCCTAACCTAGCGTAACTGCCTTCCGCTCCTGGCTACTCGATCCTAGTCTTTACCTACCCGTTTGTACCGCCGCCTTCCAATCCCCACCATTTTCAGGTAGAATGCGCGACTGAAAGTGGGAGTTGAGTGGAATGGAATGTAGGACTTGCCTTTCTTTCCCCCATGTGCTAGCGGGAGTATGTGAAAAAATATGTGTGCCAAGTAACGTATGATATAATACCACATAGCTTACGGTAGGTTTAGGAGAAGGTACGAGTAGAGGTCTGTTTTTTGTAGAGGGAGTTGGAACTGAGTAGGGGGCTTGGATCTATGAATATCTTGGAGGAAGGCCCCCGTCCCCAGACCCGCAGGCCGGCCGGCCGATCGGAAGGAAACTTATTATGATACTATGATACTAATCATTGGAAAGGAAAAAATGGAAGAAAGGGGGAAATATTATGAGAGAGATAGAGAAAATATCTTAGTATGTTACTGTCAGTGGCGTGCCCGAACCCCAGGTTGTAAACTGCATTCCCTCAGCCGCGAGCCATCAACTCAGCTGTGATGAGAATATCCGCAGAAGCCAGCCGTAATCCACCTCGACAACCCCCAATCAATTCTGTATGATACCTCCGGACTGCCACACCCACGTCTATCATCCCTTAACAATCTCAATCCCAAACCCGTTAACCAGAGCAGCCGAGTGCGTCCGCATGATCCTCTTTACCATACCGGCACCAAACCACCGCCCCGTATGATAGTCCCACTACTATTACACATCCCCGACTCCCGCTCTACCTTAACCTCCCTTCCTCCATATACCGGTAATACAACTACAAACAGCTCTAAACCCTCGCACCACCACTTCAAAAGCCATCTCTCGCCCCGCTTCCAACCCCCGCCCCCCCCTCCTCCAAGCACATATGACGGAAGCGATCGGAGGGATTACTCATCCTCGCGTAGCCTTAGAAAGCCCCATCCCGGCAAACTTTAGTAACGGGAGTCTCAACATGAGTCACACGCGCGGTAGGCGCTCGCAGCGAGCGCGGTAGTTGGTTTTGGGTTGGGCATAGGTGGAAGTGCAGTTCCCGGGTGGGGGGGGAGTTTTATCTTGGAGAGGATGAATGGATGCGGGATTACGTACAAGTACCTACTTAAGTAATCAGTTGGTTGGTCGTTTTGGGCTGTGATTACTAATTTGGGGGGATGTATTACCTGTATAGTATCAAAATCGGGGGCCGACTGTAGGAATGCGGAAGCACAAGTACCGGACCTACTACCGGTATGGTACCGGTAGTGGGGTGGTTGGGGTGCGGGGTTAAGACTTGGATTAATGCAAGCCATTTTTCTGGTAGAGTAGATACTTTGCTTGAATGACAGGTTAGACAGAGTTGGTTTTTGTAGATTTGTCCCTTGCGATCGTACTATAGTCTACTCGAGTACTGCGGCGGTAGTCCTGCTGAACGCCCTGACCGCAATATCGTTGTGTGACCAGAACACTATCCTAACGCATGAACTCGAGGCTAACTTTATCTCACGCCCCGAGACCGAGCCCCTCCCAACCTCCCAGTAGTACAAAGGCGAGTACTTGTATCCGGTGCCCGAGTCAAACCAAGCAGGACTGGTGATCTTTATCCAAGGAAAGTTGCGATACTGGCAGAGCATCTATTTCTCGATATGAGTACTGTACCGTGCAGCATTGTATTCCACACACCGAAAACAAAACACCCCACCGAATAGCGCGACCAAGGCAGAACGAACAGGAGTTCATCCCGTCCTCCCCTACTCACTCCTGTCATGTCCATAAAAGTCGTACCTACTGCCAAGTGAATATGGGTATTATCATGATAAGTTATGCATCGACAAAATTTACCCTATCACAAGGATGAGTAAACACCCACTGTTCGGGCAACGGGGAAGACGGACTTGTTATACTCTAATATTACCGTACTTGTGCAAATCCTGTTCATTCGAGGAATGTGTTATGTCGTGCCGCATGTATTTGTTACTAAATTTAAATTTTGGTAGCGAATGCTTAGCCAGCTTGGATATCACATTTGCGGATATGGCGCAGATCTCCGCCGTCCAAGCAGACAAGGGTCGTAGGTTGTGATAAAACTCCCTTTTCTAAAAGCGGTACTCGGGTAGATTAGGAGGCATTGATGCGGGAGCTATACCATACAACCCCAGACCTCAAATGCAGGATCTCTGGCTTTTGTGATCGCATTTGGGTGCTCAAGACTTTGGCTGGATATAGAGTTCGAGTGATACCCAGTGATAAAATAACAAACCCTTGGGGGGTCAATTACTGTAGCCCATTAGCCGCAGAAGCGCTATCTATCATACCATACCCAAAATTTCGCGGCCCATACACCCCTTCCGAGATTGGTTCCTCAGGTCAGAACTGCATATGCTGAAACCGACAGGATACTTAACCCCCCCCACTCCTCACAAAGTCATACAGAACCCGGGTACGAGAGTGCGAACCCACTATGATACGTTGCCAGTGCGCCCAACACCCCAACCACCCGCTGAAGAAAATAGCCCCGGGGCACCTACCCTACAAAAACTTGAATAATTGAACCGTGTGCAATGAAGTCCAACATTGTCTTCTCTGCAAAGGAGACAAAAAAAAACACAGCAAACACATAGCCCCTTTCCCCCTTCCGCTGTAGTTTTCTCTCGTGCCTTAGTGAGGTTCCGTTTATCCCTTTGTTTGTCTCAATTGAGAGCTGGGTTTGCGGTGACCCCTCCACCACTAAACTAGAGGGGGGGTTCAACGACTTAACATACAGTACCCGTGTGGCATTTCTCTCGCATTCCAGTAGTTACGATATTCCATGCTGTGTACCCCACAGCAAGCCGGCAGAGGGAATTGCTCGCTTACTTGTTGGGAGCTCTGGATCCAGTAAAGACGTGGGGTCGACCGTGGTGTCAGTCATGAGGACACTGAATGGGTGAGATGAGTAGCGGGAGGCACTTGAGGAGCTGAGGGAAGGGGTAGTACTTAGTTTTGGCAGTATTGGTGTTAGAATACGGAATGCCGCACGGGCCAGGTTAAGTAGGCCCTTGTAGCCTCATTCACAACATCAAGGCGAAAGAAATATCAACTCCGGATTTTCACAAAACCAACCCCAACCCTCACAACTATCCCCCACCACATTGTGCTATACCCCACCCCCCTCGTGGTAAATAAAACAGGAATGGCCAAGGTTTTCACATGAGCTCCTTCCTTCCTTCCTCCCTTTTCTTCAACAAATTGTCCACGCCGCACATGAGAAACGGATTACTCACGGGCCAACCCTGATGTATATCTCTGCAAGTACCACCAACCACTATCACTACCCAAGAAAAAATCGCTAAAACGCTGAGATAACCTATGGTATCACGCCCGGGCAGGAACGCCCCCGTTTCATTCATGCTTCGTCATAGGCTGGAAGTCCCGAGGACAACGCGCTTTCGTATAGCGTGCGGCAGCGCTTGTAAGAACAAGCCAAATTGTGTGTGTGCTCGAAAGTTGAAGTTAACACGAGCAGTAGTGAGGGAGGAAGGGAAGAGTTGCTAGCTCCAAGACGCAGTATCCGAAAATCACAGATCGTTTTAAGTATGATAAAGCAATGGACCTTATTAGAGTGAAAGGTTCTGGAACTGGTATGTAATCCTATCAAAGCCGTTCCACGGCCATCACTAGTTCAATTATTACCTACTAAAATACCGTTCCTCCGCCAGTCCTCCCAGACAACGGCCGCCCCCAGCTTATCACTAGCAACCTCTTCCTCCACACGAATCCGGGCCCTCCAGCTCCCGTCCCCGTCCTACCAAAAACAAAACTACTGTTACTGTACTAGCAGAAGGTGAATCTCGCAAGAAAATGCGGTATCGTCATGGGTCTTGAGTCTGTCTGGTGTGGTCAATTCACTTGCCTTTTCTAACAGAATAAGGTTCGGGGGGGAGATGATGGGGAGATTGTCGGATATTCACGCTGGCATGATACGGTCGCTTGATGAATTTCAATGTTTTGGGGGGGGGAAGATACTGAGACACTTGTGTATGATAGGGACGGAAGTTTCCGATGTGAAGCAGTAGCTACCGGTTCGGGGGTTGCACGGGGATGGGATGGGATGGGGGCATGATACGAGAGGACCAAGATGATTCTGAAGGAGTCTCCTGTTTGGAAGGCAAGTTATAAGCAAGCAGTAACTTAGTGGTACTCAAGTAGATGTCAGTGTCTTAGCGGGTTAGGGTGTTTTACGATGGTGTAACACTTTTACGACTTTTAGGGAGGAGGAACTAGCTAGGTTCAATGGATGCAAAAAGGAAGATTAGGTACCGAAGGGATTTACCGACAGTATCCCACGATGTATGGACCATGGTCCTCTCAAAGACCAGCGAACATAAGACAATTCAGGATGTTAAACGACTATGGGATCGTACAAGTATGTAGATTACAATATCATACTCGCACAAGTATCGCAAGTTTAAGCGCAGACAGGCGCTCTCGTCCCCAAATCCCGGACGGTCACTCTCCTTTGTTCAGCCCTACAGTCTGCCCGGTCTTCCCCTCCTTCCATAAACAAGCTCCCGAAACACGCCCAATTGCTTATTCTCACAATGCAATCCGCGCGAAAGAACCCGGAAAACCTCTCCCCGACCAAAATATCCAAGGATCCAAGGATCCAAAAATAACCCGCCTATCCAGAACACCGGTACTCATGCCTTCTTTCCCCGAATGAAATAACGCTGTCTGCCCTTTAATCCCCCCAATTGCGGCGTAGCGTATGAGTTAATCCGCCCGCATACCTGCACACTGTACGCCCAAGGTGTCATACAGTAAATTTACATCCTAAATAGGAGTTTGAAGATTCGGCAGCCAATCCCGGGGCTCTCCCGCTGGGTGTACAGTAAGAGCTAACCGCCAAAACTGGTAATTTTTGAGGGAAAGACATTTTGTCAGCGGTCGAATGCCGGGTTGGGGAATTATGTAATGCTCAGTCGGTGGAATGCCCATACCATACGATAGCCTTAAGTTACCTCCGTATGTTCGTTCCTAGGTGCGGTGCAGGTTGTAGAGCCGGGGGGGTCCCAAGGGTTGCGGTGCATACTCCTGGAGTGGTGGAAGTGACTATTACCGGTATGTACAGTACAGTACCGGTATGGGAGGATGGGCAGAATTCAACTTTGGGGATAGAAGATATATATTTCCCCCTCTCCATATTCCGCCACACGATATCGGGGATTGCATGATACAGTATTGATGAGACCAATTCTACCCATCAATTCGTACGGAGCATGGGGACATAAAAAATTTAAAAAAAGGCCAAGAACTGACGTCTTGCCCCCAAATTCGAGGATCTCGGCACACCTTGCAAATTGGCGAGTACTGTACTGTACATGGTCTCTCCATGGCATGCGACGCGATGACCAAATTCCCCCTGGCGCAAGCAACTCTACGCCAATATTCCACGCAGCTTATGGTGGCTGTGCGGCAACGCACTGTACAGTACAGTACTGTGCCCATGAGTAAGTTGATGCGGCCCAAATTCTCGAGTATAGTACGGTACTACCGGTCCCTCCCAGAGGCAAGTACTCATAACCTCCCCCTCCATCCAGACATAAGGACCAACCTTGCTGTGTCATGGCGTAGACAGTCACCAGGATACCGGTGGTGCAATCCATTGAGCTCGTACAAAAGGGTCTTTTGGCATCCAAAATTGATCGCATTAGATTATGCAGTACGAGTAATCATCATGCCCCAGCTACAGCAAGGCGTTTCCCACTGCCGTATCTCTCTCCCACTATCTCCCTCCCTCTAATCCCTCCAATCCGTGGTGAGGGTAGTAGTTGCCAAGGAAATTTGAGGGGGGGGGAGGAAGAGAAAAAAAGAGGGACATAAGTTACATACATACTTCCTTCACCCACTACCGATAAGAGCGATCAAGACCCGGCACTTCCTTAAACCTTATGTATAACACCAGGTCACGGTAGAGCAGCAGATATCGCATCCCAGCAACGGTCCCACGGATTGTGTGATAAAGCCCCGGTATCAAGGAAAGCTTCACGTTATGACAAGGCCTGGGGAAGTTCCAGCATTCTGTCACTCAGTCATCCGGCTAGAAGTGTTGGGCGGCGATGATGGATGGAACCCCCGACCAGAGTAAGCAGCCTGCACCTTCTTGCCTCACGGCATTGGATAGTGCTGTATCGGTACTGCACAAGACGGTACCGTAATTCGCCCGTCCTGCCCTATACGTCCAAGCGGATTACATACACTATGATTCCGTGTTGCTTGCCCAGTAAGGATGATTTAAACAAGAGACCTTAAGGGTGGCGACTATACGGTCAGGTAATAATACTTTATCCACTTGTTCCCCCTTCCTCCTCTTCCCCCTCTTCCAAATTATCCTCTGGCTTCCTCCACGACAAAGGACTGGGCTTGAAGGGTACGTCGCACACAGAAAGAGATTACCGGTATCGGACCAGTAGAGGGACTGACCATAGGCCAGTCGGAAGCTGGACATACTGCGGCTAACAGGTTCACTTGCTTTTTCGACCGGATTCCCCGGATCTTATTATATCACTTCTCCTTAATACGATAAATAATCTATCCTACACTTTCCACCCTTCATCGTTCCTTCCTTGCGGGCAGTCAAATACCCCCGATCCCCCCCCTCCACACACACATCCAAACAGAAAACCTTTGGGGAAGAATTTGACCCGCCGCAACAAAAAAAAAAGCGCAGGAGACTATTGCCTGTTCACGGCTCAACCTTTCTTTCTATTAGTCAAGATTTGGTTTTTTTTCCTTTTTCCCCTTCACACAACACAACGCCAGCACCGGCAGAAACAACACACTGGCATCCAAAACGATTTCCCGGTCCCCCTCCTCCTCCCTCCTATACTCCCACCACCACCACTCGGGCGCCCCGACAGCAAATCGGCTCCCATCACCACTGACTCTAACCATGACCGCACCGCCACCTCCTCCGTCATCCTATCGTCCCTGGGAAGATACAGCGTCCTCAACAACAACAGCAACTGCTCCGAAACTTTCATCGATGCAAACCACTTCCACAACCCAAACAAGCTACGCAAATGGCCGACCGTCGTTGCCACCGCTGCCGATGACGACTTCACCGATCACGGACCGGAGGCCGGCCCCTGGTGCCTCCTCGCAGGGGTACACGGGTCAGAATTCGAGAAAGAGACGGAGGTTGTCGGATGGGAATGAGGGGTTTACGTTGCCCTCGTTGACCCCGAGCCCGCGGGACGCGACGGCGACGGCGGCGAGCAGGAGGGGGGGCGATGAGGGTGGGGGTGGGGCTGAGAGTTTTCGAGAAGGTGTGGTCAAGGAGAGGGGTGGTGGGAGGGAAATGGAGGCGGTGAGGGATAGGGAAAGGGAGGAGCAAGGAAGTGCTTACTCAAGCCAAAACCAGAACCAATTCCACCTCCGGAATCCCACGGGCTCCCGGCCGGGAACACCTACGAGAGGACAGCATCAGCTACAACCTCAGGCTCCTCCAGCGCCATCACCGTCTAACACGCTATCAGTCCTGGTCTCTTCAATACACAATCTAGTCCTAGACCTGACCGCATCATCCCAATCCCCAACCTACACCATACCCGCACAAATAACCCCCCACCAGATCCCCACCATCGAGACTCTAACAACGTGCCTAGAAACTGTCTTCTCTCTTCTCCTACGGTTGAAATCACCCACCTCCCAGTCCCCACCGCTGCCTCCTCCACCACCCCAAGCTCAACACCCCCAGACAACAACCCTCCCGCAATCCCACCACCCCAACCAAAACCCACCCCAGACTCTCTCGACCGTCCAGCAAGCACACAGCACCCTCCTAAAAGCCCATAAATCACTGCAAGCAGCGCATGCCCGCTCTCAAACTCGTGCCACGACCCTCGAGAAAAAACTCCTCGTGTGCACGGACGAGAACGATAATTTGACGAACGAACGCGAACGACTGCAGGGCGCGGTGGAAAGCCTTGAAGAGTCGCTAACAGATGTGCGTGAGGAGCGGGACGAGATTCGCCTGGAATTAAGAAAGTCGGGCGTGCAGTGGGGGAGGATATTGGTGAACGCGGGGCGGTTGGCGGAGGGCGCTTCCAGAATTGAGAAAGGGTTGAGGGGGGAAGTGGAGAGCTTGAGGGAGGAGGTGGGGTTGCTGAGGGGTAGAGGTGCTGACGGGGATTCGCTTATGGGAGGGATGGAGAGAGAGGGATTTTTCCATGTGGGTGGGAGAGGAGGGGGTGATATGGAGGTAAGGGAATTGAAACTTAGAGTCAGAGAATTAGAAAGGAATATCGAGGAAGCAAGACGAGATGGCAGAGGTGTGCTCGAGATGGCGGAAAAGTTGGCAAAGCTAGGAAGGGGGATTATAGATCGATGACATTCATCCATTTATTCCCTTCACATTTTCTCCCTTTTCTCCCTTTTATATATCTTTTATTCCCTTCCTTCCTTTCTACATTCCTCTTCATCACATCCGGAATTTCTCGTATGCATGGGTTAGGGCTTGGTTCCGGTTCTTGGTCTCGGATGGTTTCGGGAGTTTTTCCTACGTTTTTACCTTCCGTCATTTCCCTTTTTCTTTACGCATAGTCTATTTAATTCAGTACACTAGTAGAAGCATTGTCATTTACATTGGGAAGAAAAGAATATAGTTAGGTTTCTAGAGTTTCGAATATCTTGACGAGCCTGTCCGCTCCGGGCGCTTTATAGTGCAGTTGGCTGCTGATATACATATGAGCGCTATCATAGGTGACGTACAGAACAGTATGAGTACATGTCGCGGCTAGCAGAGTTGTGTTTGCGGGTGAGTAGACGACTGGTATGGAGCAGTCATTAGCACTCACTCGCCCTAGAAAACCCTTTCTGATTAGGAATTGCGTAGGAGGAAGGAAGGAAGTACTGGATGGTATCATATGGTGTCGATTCGCCGAATATATATATCACAGTTAATAACGCAGTAGAAGTTCACCCAGCCACGTAAGAAGGCCCATGAAATGTCCGGCACTTGCCCGCTTGCTTAAACCGCGGCATACTATGGGGCGGAATACACTGGACTTTGCTTGACCCAGCCGCAAAGAAGGGAAAGAGAGAAAAAGGTTGATAGGGAGAGGCTTGCTACACGTGGGTCAATATTAGAAAATCTCACACCCGCCAAAGCCGAGCCCGGCAAGTATTGGGTACCGCTTCTGGGAGCATGCCGCGGCGTTTTGGCGAGGGCGGGTATCATACCACGTAGCGGTGGCACGTAGGGATGACAATATAGATGGTCGAGGGACAGCGTTGTCATGTATGTAGGTTGGAAATCGAGTGCTTTTTGGTGAAGGTGAGAAGTATTTGCCCCGCTAAAGCAAGTAAGTGTAAGTTGCTACGGCAAGTTAGTACAGATTATAACAAACCCCCCCCCCTTCACCACCACCCTTCCCCGCACCCTTTAAGATAAGAATGCGCTACGCATGCTTGATACCCACTGTCTCGATATGTTGTAAAGCCTATACCGACTTTACGATGCTATTCATGAAAAGGATCTAGTATACAAGATGAAAGTGTGTATAGCGGCCATACACAAAACCACTGACAAACCCAAATTCAGTCGACCGGCCCAACCAGCCAGCCAGCCAGCCAGCCAGCCAATTAGTCCCAAGATGCGTAACAGCCGACACCCCCAGCTAAAAACGTAGGATCTACAAACATACATTCAACTATTCCCCCATGTAGACGAACGAAAACCGACTGATATAATCCTCATCGACTATCATACCCCCAGGCCATAGCCGACCATTCCTACGGGAACACCAAGACACAGCCCCCAACCACTTTCACCGAGTTTCCGCCATTGATGATCTCCAGATGGCCCACACGATCATGTGCCATCGGGCATTTCCGAGCTTGGGTTGTGTCGATGGTTCTGGCGGGAATAACCGCGTATTTGCGCTCTGGAGGGACCGCGGTTCCTTCTATGGTAGTATGAGGAGGTGGTGGTGGAGGAGAAGATTTGTTTGTACTAACTCTGTTATTAAAATCTGGTCAAGGGGCTTTATCACGATCTCCCACCCGGAAGCGGTATGATTTCATAATTCCTATGACACTCGGGCTAAGTTTCTTGTTGATACCCGTGTTCTTCGTGAGGTGATGCTGGGATATATATCATTGTCCGATACAAAGGCATTGACAGCCCGGCTACCAGTAAAGGGGAAATATACCTTGGCCCGTTCCACCCGCCCCCGCCCTCCTCACCGGTCCGACCAAGTATCATAATATTATTACAGGTATCATATCTTGAGCAAACAGCCACCACCGAATGACAACCCATGACGGTAGTGCCCAAGAACCAGAACATATCCATCACCGCCCCGCCCTATTTACCACATATCCTCTCTGCCGCCGCGACGGAACGTTGGTAACGTGGCTGGGACTTACCACCTTAGACTAGTGGGTTATTATGCCATCGTCAAATTTGGTGTTAGCGCAGACCGACTGTTCAAATGGGGTTTGGTCTTGGGAGTATGAGGTGTACTGTTCGAGGATAGTGCTATCATACTATGGGCAGGGCAGTGAATTTTATCCACACGCAGGGTGCTGAAGGTATCATTGGATGTTCAAGGAGGTGAAGAGAAACGGCCCTTATGGAGGATGTGATAGGAGTGGTGTGACGGGAACGGACGGATGGATATAGAGAGAAAATGAATAAAGTGGACGGAGTGAATAACTGCACATGCTATATCTACTTTGTTTTACCCCCTCCCTCCCCGGCCCTGCTGGCTACCTGCCTACCTACATACCAATCGGTACCCAAACGATAGTGAGATATAAAAGGAGAAAGTAGCTACCACAACTGCACAAAGAAATTTGAGAAATCCCTATGGGAGATTAAAAGAAAAGAGGAAAGGAGCCAAGAAACGACCGACGAAAACCCCGCCGAGTGACAACGACAAAAAGAAATAACATCTCGAAACAAAAGAGTATACTAAAAAATAAAAAAAACAAAAGTTTGTTTATGATACATTCTCACCTCTGGGATCAATAGGCTCCCCCGCCATCACCTGCTACCCGAATTCCTCCACCCCCAACTCTTCCTTTTACCCACCGGCGAGCGTCCGCCCCCATCCCCTTCAACCTCGTATACTGGGTTCCCCTCCCCTTGCAACTCACCCATACCCCACCCCTCCACAGGACTAGCGCCCAATTCGGCCGGCATATGGTCTGTTAAGGGCACAGGCTGATATCCATGCCCTCCCACCCCAGGAATTCCGAAATCGAATCTCTGGTCACCGGCCGGTGGGGAGTGCTGCAGGGGCGGTGAATGTGCTGGTGGGACGGCCGTCGGTCCCTTTGCGGGATGGTGCGGGTGGTACTCGCTCATTTTGGGTCCCCCTGTTATCTTTGTCGCAGCTGCAACAGCGGTAGGCGGCTGTGTGCCCCTATACCGCGAAGAGTGACTACCGTGTTGTCCGGATAACGTCGCTGTAGGATCAAAAACATTTGTTGTCGGCACCCCGCCCGAGGCGTCTGTGTTACTCCTCTTCTTGATGTGGTTCCTCGTAAACATCCAGGCTAATGCAAGCGCAATAATAGCCACCACTGACCCACCGACAATCCCTCCAATGGCGATTTTGGATAATGGCGCGTCATCGCCCTTGCTTTTAGACTCTGTGGGGGTAGGCGATGGCGCGGAGGTGGTTGCGGTAGCAGAGAGTTTAAGATTGTTAGCATCGACATCCGGGACCTTGGTCACGGCGGATCCGCCTGCTGGGGTGCAGGATGAGAAACCGCATTCTTGGCCCACGACGCAGCAGCCAAAGCCCATCGATGAGGCACAGAGAGTCTGGCTAGAAATTGTGCACGTTCGACTAGGTGGCGGGGTGGTTGTTCCAGCAGGAGGGACGCAGCCGGTTAGGGCACAGGTGTAGCCGGTTTTGCAGCATCCGCCTGTGGCGGGGCGTTAGATGCTGTAAGTTAAGACGTGGAGAGTGATACATACCACCGAATTCGGCTCCACAGAGGGTATACCCTGCGTTGCAGTATAGTGCACTTGAGGTGGGAGATGGAGATACGGATGATGATGTAACTATATATATACATCTCAGTGCCACAATTGATCACATTTTCAAAAGAAACCTCTTACGTGTAATAGATGAAGTCCTTGAAGCGGTTCCTAGTGATGTAGACACACGCGTTATAGTTACAGGTGCCTATACGATTTCCGTGATCAGCATGCTTTCTCTGGAGGATGGTGACTTGAAGCGTCGAACGTACCGATTTAGTCGTACCGGGCGACAGAACTGTATCAACCAGTGTAGTAACCTATAATCTCACAACCATTATTAGTTCATCTGCATTTGACAACATTTAATTCTCCGTGGGGTAGCAAAATCGTACCTCTGTTATCTGATCAGCGGGAGTAGTCTCCATCTGTCGTTTCTCCAGAATGATGGCCCTTTCAGAGATCTGCCCCCCGTCCACCACAATGCACGCCACCCCGAGGATGGCGAACAAAAAGAACAACTCTCTCTGCTGAAGATTCATCCTAGGTGTGGAATGTTTTTATCTTCCTCTTCCCCCTTCCCCCTCCTGCTCTCTGGTGTATTGATTGATTGTTTTCCCGGAGGTTCTTATTTCTAGGGGGTATCACTGTCCTCCTTCGTGTTGTTATACCGGATGCTTGATTTCTTGCCTTCCGGGAAAGCGAATGGAGGTGGCGGAGAATTAATCACAGATCTCAACTCGAACGGAAAAGTGCGTCTACGTGTTGATACGTGGGCGTCCGAGTATGCTATGCTGTGCTGTGCTGTGTGCTGCCTCTGCTTTCGCTATCTGTCGGGTCACCCCAGTGGGAAGAGGGGAAGGACAGGAACAAAGTGTTAAATGGGCTCAGTGACTCGACAGATGGATTCTATGAAGAAATTCTGATGGCATCCGTCAGTCGTGAATCGTACCCAGGAAGAGGTAAGGCCAAAAGCGGTGCTCTGTTTGAAGTTGTCGTCCCTTGAAGGAGCGCTCTGCAAGACCCAGCGAGCGAAAAACAAACTAAGTGGCGGTTGGTGGTGGTGATGGATCTTTTGCTCTTCTGAGTCTTTACCTTTTCCGTTCTATGGATCACCACACATTTGCAGGGCTGAAGAGACGGACAGACAACCCATATCGGATAAAAAAGACGAGAATCGATCTGAACAGCCTCTTCTCCCTCGAGGTCCCCTTCTTTCCCAACCACGGCCCTTCTCCTTCCCCAAAGGATCAAGAAAAAGGAAGAAAAAGGAAAGAAAAGCGCCATTGTCAGCCCTGACTGGCTCACAATGGATGACTGATTGGCCATCCCAACACAACCAGCGACATCCACACCTGAAACCTGGCCAGTCAGCGTGACTCTCCAAAGCGGCATGGCTGGAGCACACCAATTACTGGAGTATTTCTGCGTCGCTTTGTCGAACGGAGTTTCCTTCAACTATTTCGAACAAGCACAGCCTGGCTTCACCCAAACCACACTCAAACAGAGCCAAACCCTTCTGAGCGTTTTCAATACCAAAATCTGTATTCTCGGCGCTTCGAACCCGGAAGAGTCAAAATATGCAAAAATATGCATGAAGGCTATCTGTGGCATAGATTAACCTGGCCATTGTTCTTTGGCGAAAGCAACAAGCGTACCGGTACCAGTATGATACGAGTACTTGCTGCTCATCGCTAAACTTTCGATAAAGGTTTTAACGGAATTTCCTGTTTTGTCTCACACCCCCACCCACCACCACCATCCCGAAGTCCCTCGGGCCGTGTGCACAATTCTCCACAGCATCGCTATCAGCCGAACACCCAAACCTTGCACGTCCGACCGGAAGGAATACTAGATCTTGGATGAAAATCATGGAAGCTGAAAAGAACGTCTGCTGATCTATATCTACCCGTCATCCAATTCTTTATGAGTCGATTCGTACATAATAATCTACCGGTACCGATACACACCGTATGTCCAATGATCCAAGAGATTTTTGCGGGTGGGGGGGGAGCGACATGCCAAGATGCACTGCCCCACCGATATCACCGGCAAACGGCATTTTTTTGGGCTCAACGACACTGGAAATACTCGTATTTATTCAAGTTTTGCCCGCGCACCCACGAGATGTTGGAGAACGACTCGGGGCCTCTGACAGGAAGGAGCAGAATAAGTGACTGAGCGTGACTGAGCGTGACTGAGCGTGAAACCGATGAATGAATGTTCGCGTTGCAAATGGGAATCGCGCGCGAGAGAGCGTGATACTTGTAACATCACCCATTGAGAACCTGCTCTCAAGTCATGCCGCTGTGCCAAGTGCAGTAAAGCAAGGCGAACGACGAATGTTTTTTTCCGAATGCTGACCGACCACATCCCTCCCTAGAAGCAGGAAAACTAGGGACTCAATTAAGAGAGTATTCTCGGTGGGAATGATGTCTTGATTTGGCATTATTTGCTGCGAGCGGTCAATAAGGAGGCAAAGGGCGAAATTCATTTGGGGGTCAGGAGCACTGCCAAAATGCGGGAGACATGAAGAGACTTCTTCGCGATATGGTTTGTTGATCTTTGAACACCTTAATTTAGAAGGGGCCGCGCAATCTTGCCAAGATATCGTGGGCCAGTTGCAGTGTTGGCTGCTCACCCAGGAATCGGAACTCCGGGGATTGGAGGCATTCTAGGGATTCGATGATTGACCTTGAAAATATATCTAGACCGCCAAAGGCTTAGACGCTTAACTTAGAGATCTAAAGTTGGAATTCATGGTGGTAGTCTAATCCCCTTTGAGCCGAACGTCGCTCACTCAACCAGTACGAGTAATTCTATTGTACAGTAGTTTTATACAGGCAAAGTATCTTTTTCCAGTGCACTTGCGGATGATGGAAACTTAAGGGTTTAGAGCTTATCAAAATTTCCACCCCTCCAGCATCTCGATAACATATGGTACCGCATGATGAATTCCCCTTTCAAGTTACCAATTTCACTCTGGGCAGACGACTTCATTCACCTTCGAATGTCCCTTTGCCCCCCCCCCCCTGCTCATGTCGGAGCAGGGTTGCCTTCAAAATCGTAGTGTTCAGAGAAGATCCTGATCCATTGGAAGCCTAACCCCCCCCCGCCCAAAGTGAAAATAACGAAATGAGCATTGGTATCATAACTAAATTAATGTACTTGTATCATAACCAACACAAACCTTACAATCCCTTCTCAACAAACATCCTAACCCTCTCCCTAACGTCCCCCACCTCCATCCCCCTCTTGAGCACCTTCCTCTGGTCGCCCTCAATCCATAGTACATCCCCGCTAGCCCCCTCAATCTCCAACCTAACACCATCCAAAAACATCATTCTCCACCCCTTCCCATCCTCATTCCTGCGACACCATCCGACACCCTTAACAAAATCTGTTCGCTCGTCGATGCGGAATTCGCCCATCTCCAACTTTTCGTTATTGCTCTTCTCCCCACGACCAAGGTCGTCAGAATCCTGGAGTATTTTTTGGCAAGCTTCGTACATTCGTACCACCCTTCTTGGTCCTTTGACCCTGCTACCTACCACCCCACCGGCGATTTTTCCCGTAGGGTCAATAACCTCGAATTTTCCGTCACCAAACATTCTCCCCGTCCAGACCCCTCCGCTGCGGACTTCGACCTTAGCAACTACCGTGCGTTTTTTCAGTGCATCGACAAAGTGCCTCGCATAGCGTACAGCATGAAGGTGCTTCAGTGGTAAGTCTTCAATCTCAAAAGTTTGCTGATTAGACGTCATTGTATTCCGGACTGTAATGGGTAGAGAGCTGGATGGTATTGTATAAGAGTACTGCCCACCACCACGAAGCTCTTGTAAATTGCGGAGCTGGAGGTGGATGTGTGTTGGTGGATGAACGGAGATTATTGCGGATTTGGAGTGGTGGGTTAATTGAGGGAGATGGTGTAGTGTAAAGGTGTACTTCTGGGCGAATGCTGAAGAGGGCGGCCTCGATGCGCGGGGGTGAGCTGATACACCACTTGGGCGGGAGGCCTGCTTAGGCGGTGGGCCGGGAGGAGGTGGGGGAGGTGGGGGTGCAGGTCTTGTAGCTTCAAATTGTGCGCGCAATAACCGCATTTGCTGTAGCGGTGACGGCCCAGATTCGACCTTAAGCTTTGGCATCACTGGCTCCGAGACAATAGCCAGAGCGGGCGCACTCGTTGGCTGCAGGTGCCGTCGATTAAGCAGCGATAGTGGCGGCGTAGGTAGAGGTACCGCGTCCGGCTTCGGGCGTGAATGCGCCAGTAGTAATTCAGAAATAGAAGGTTTTGGGGGGGCTCGATGAGGGACTGTGCTCAAGTAATAAGCATTCCCATCCTGAAAACTGCTGCCATTAGACATACCCGTATCCGTCGTCTCCCCTTCTTCATCCTCCTCTTCTGGCCCATCTTGAATCCCACCCCCGACCCACTTCTCATTTTCAAGTCCGACATGGAACCTAGCCAAACTCGTCGGCGACCCCCTCCCCCACCCTTTGTCCCGATCAACTTCAAAATCCGGCTTCCCCTTCTCCCCTTTCTTACCCACCCCGTCATTTTCAATCTCCGTTAAAACACCAGGCCGCCGGCGTGCAGGCCGCACCCGATCTATATCCATAATGTGCTGCAAGCTCTGACGTTTCCTCGGAGTGGTACTCGGTGGGTCGAGTATTTTGGAGGGCGAATTTGTGGTTGACATTCTGTTGATTTGCTGCACGTTTGTTTACCGAGTAGGAGATTTTCGTTTGGTTGGTTGCTGTGTGGGGCAAGTGCACGTGATCTACCACGAACGTGGTGGGTTCGTGTTTAGCGTGATAGGATATTCGCAGGGATGATAGACCCCAACCAAGCGCGTAACCGGGACAACGAGCGTGATACCAACGGAAAAACTGCCAAATATTTTACGGTATTCAAATCCTAAGGTCCCTGGAGGTCACTTTGTCTTGTTTTTAGAGTTTGTGGTTGAGGTGTGTCGGTATTTGGTCTCGCCCCGAGTACTTGTAATTGAGTAATTCGTATGATATTGGGATTTTTTTTGTCTGCCCTCGGCGCGGTAGGTTGAGGTTTGGAAGCCGAAGGTTCTGGCGACATTCTACCGCAGGGTGAATTCACTGTTATCTTTTGGTTTAGACATAGGACTGGGACAGAGCGGATCACGTAGGACTCGTATACAAGAGATCTTGAGAATTCTATCTTCTATTATACCTCTAACTTACTTTCCCGACAGCTTGACCAAGGATGAATCATAAGCTAGTAACTATTCGCTTTTGAGACTATAGTCAAATAATACCATATGCAAGTACGGGGTTTTGTTAGGCACAGGCATTCCCAGTGTATTTCACTACCGAGTGATACTGACGGCCCCAAACAAAACTTCGGGAATGACCGGCCGTCCAGAAAACCCCAATCATGCATTGGATATCACTCAATGTGACAAGTCTAGCATCCCGAAAACCTAGAGGAGATATCGACAAGCAAGAGAGGAATTGATAGAAGAATTGCTTGATTGACTGTATTTTACCACTCCAAGTGCGTTGCTATCCGAGTAATTTAGCCCCTATACGAGTATGGGGTGTCCGTATTCGGACCCTCACTGACCTCTCTACACTAGTCCACTAGCTCATCAGCCACATATTCCGAACTCTCTGATACTAGCCCAATTGTAGTATCATGCTTGTATCCTCATATTCCAACATAGCAGTCCTTTGTTTTCATTACCAATGAGGGTCGAGAGAATTAGTCGATTGACTTGAAACTCTACCGCACATGTACTCGTATTCCAAAGCATGTAGGAGTGTCATGAGAAGGGCTTAGTCTCTCACCAATTTATTTGGTTCCTCCCCAGAGAGTAAACATTTTCTCTTATCAGCGTTACTCTCTCTTTTTAGGACAGTGCTAACGCGAATCCAACTCCTAAATTAGGATCACGGAAAGCTTAAGTATCAAATTGAGGCATCTATCTAGTCTTGATTGATGGTCAACAATGCTTGGGCAGCACCCTTCTTTCAGTGTTGCCTACTCCTCTGTGAAGACTTCCCGCTCGTTCACCGCCGTAGCATGATAAGCATTAATTTTCCGCTTCGGTCTTGCTAAAGCCTACACAGGCACTAGGCGGATAGGGAAACGCTAGGGTGACATTTAAACCCCGGCGAGGTTGGATGGATCCAGTATAAATTATCACGTAGATTCCCGGCGAGTTTCCACGGGCTCGATGAATTTGGTGGTTTCTAGGCAGCCGCAATTCTTCCAAGTATAACATTGAGGACTCCCATCGCGTTCTGGTTTTCATGTATTTGGCCGTAGGCTAAACCTGGCACCAGCAGTTAGATTTAGAATTACTGGAAAGACTGGGTGATAGTAGGTTTATAGAGGAATACATATACACCATCCCAGGTCACATATTTGGCCCGGACAAGAACTCTTTCGTTTGCACCAAGCAGAACGATATCATCAAGTCCTAAAGCTTCATACTGCAGAGGAGAGTCTTGGCGACCCCCGTTGCAGAATACGTGGGTAGCGGCAGAGACGAATACGGACCGCTATCCAACTATCCAGTACACAGTAGGATGATTGGCAGTCGTTCCGAAGCGATAGAGTTTTGTTGGCTATCGGTGCCGGTATTGTATGCTATGGGAAGTTTTTAATCGAGTATCATACTTCAGGTAGGTGTTCAAATGTCGAGGAGGTTGTCATGCTCGGATGCTATTTTTTGTCGCCCTAATAGAATCTGCCTTAGCGACTCCAATCTTATCAATCTGGAAAAGATAAAGCAAGTTGGTAAAGGGACATGAATGCTAGATGCTCAGTGCAGAGTGATATTTTGTGAGTCTCGAGACTTGACCGGGCAGAGGATTCGTGGCGTTCCACCAGAGGTTCTAACGGAATGGCCTGATCGAGGCTACCAAACCGGTATGTGTGAATACCGGTATTGCTCTTCTATTACCAGAAAACACCCTTAGAATCCACTATCTCCGAGAGCTCTGTAATCTCCGAAACCTGAGTCAGAATTCCCGGAGAGGGATTGGTGTTTTGCTGACCTGGTACTTGAGTACGAGTAAATTACGGTTTTTAAATTTGATTGTCGCGTATTGGGGATATTGCATAGTTTGATTTCAAGGCCTGCTTCCACTTTTATGCCATGGAATTTTTGGGATCAATTGAGAACATGTTGAGTATGCCACAGATGCCGTAGTATTTTCAGAAAAAAAATACTATAGTATCATGTTTTTTTTGATCTAGTGTTTTTTTGATCTGGCTTTTTTTTTGTCACAATTTCATAGAGGTTTAGGATAAAAAAGTGGAAATACATTTTCTTCTTCCAAGCACTAGGATAATACTTGAATTCTTGATTAACCTCTTTCCTTCCTTACTTTTAACCAATAACCCAGTTATAGAAAATATGTATGTTCAACTTCAATTTTTCGTTGTTAAACGGTACGGCATTGTACTGTACAGCATTGTGACTAGACATGTAGACAGAAAAACATGAAACCTTTTATTTTCACAAATATGATACCCCCGGTATTTTTATAAATAGCTTTTAAGCCATTTTCAGGGAATACCGTGGTGTTTTCAACGTGGCACATGCCGATTAAGGCCTTGATTATTCTTTTAAATTTCCATCTGTCGGGTATCCCTTCTCCCACACAACAATTATATGATTCCTGTTCTACTCGCACGCTCGGAAGCAGTCTACTTGTCATAAACCTAAAACCACGGTTTCAACGCCAAGCTTTATCAACCACTCGGCTGGATCTACCTCTCCCCGCGATTATCGTCATCTATCAAGTTATCAATCAGATCAACCACCGGTGCGATAAATCGATAAATAGCCACCCCCCCACCGCCAGTCTTCGCCAACTCCTTGCAGCTGCGCCCTCGCACACACCGCACACATCGCTCACATCGCACCAACTCTTTCCACCTTCTAAGTGAGGATAAGGCAAGACACGGACCTACAGCACCGTAAGTACATCGCTCTATATTATCTTGTTATTCCCCAGCCGAGTTGGTCTGAACCAGGGCTATCGGTAAACCCGCAGCTTCTCTTTCTCTTTCATCTTTCTTTCTTTGATTATTTACCCTAACGTTTGTGTTTGTGTGTAACATGCTAAAACAGTCCCTTAGGCGGACAGCCAAAGCGAGGACGTCCCGCCACCACCGCCATCCTTTCTACGCCCCGCGCTCCCAATCATACCACCTTACATCTATCCTATCCGACCACCCCGCCTACCCATCAACCTACATACCTAGGCACAAAACACGAGCAAACTACACACATCTGAACAACAATTAAATCAAGAACACCACCATGCCCTTCCTCAATCTCCCGAATGAGACAATTCTCCAAATTGCGCGCGAGCAAAACCCTCAGGACCTGAACTCCCTCCTGCGCACGAACCAACGCCTAGCGAGCCTCCTCAAGACCGCGCTGATCGACTGTGTGTGTGAACTCCGCTTGCAACAGAAATGCAAGCTGGCTCTCTACGCCGCCGCCACTCGCGGTGACACAGTCATTGTGCGGCGCCTACTGGACCGTGGGATTCTCGATTTCGTGGGCGACGGGGCCTTGTTGAACGACGCGGTCATGTCCTTGGATGAAGCCGGTCTACGCGTTCTTCTCGACTGCGGCATCGATCCCGAGACTCGCGACGAAGAGCAGCAGACCCCGTTCTCTGTCGCGTGTAGGCATAATCGCCTTGATGCTGTCAGGCTGTTGGTTGATGACGCGAGGGTGGATGTCAACTCCGTTGACCGTACCGGGCGAACCGCATTGTCCCATGCCGCGGGCTCTGGACATGCGCAGGTCGTGCGCATCTTGTTGCATGATGAGAGGGTGGATCCTAACTTGAGTTGTGAGTACTCCCTCCTTGCTTTCCTCTCCTCCCAGATTTAGAAGCTAACAAGTGTGGTGACCTACAGAGATCAACTAGTGAACGCACTACACCAATTAAACACATGCGTATAGATTTCTGGGCCCCAAATGTTTGTTAGTGGCTCCTGGTTGAAACCCCCCTAGTTTCGTTTGGTTCGGTGATAATCCAAAGGGGAAGAAGAAAATATATGTTTTCTTTTTTTTCTTTCTTTTTTTCCTCTCCGGTAAATGTAAAATATATCACTGTCAACAAAACAAGACGAAAGCGTCATTGAGGGGTTTAGTTAGCTGAAATGCAATTCTTCTATCCGTTACCGCACGTGCAATGCTCGAATGAAAACTCACAATTATCGGGGAGGAGGAAATGTAAGCTGTCGTAAACGGAAAAAGAAATGTATTCTCATGAAAAATCTTGAGAAATCCCCTTGTCGCCAATCCCCGGGACAGAGATAACGCCATTCCAACACCTTCGCGGGAAGGCGCGAAGAAGCGGGTAAATCCAAGATGGTAAGCCGAGAACAACAGCAAATATGATACCAATGATGCAGAGTGATAAAACCGATCAAGTGTCGACTGCCGAGGACTTGAATAACGACTCATCTAACACCTACCGCAACAACAAATGCCAGTTACGATACCCCGATACCTAACCATCAAAAAAGTAACGCCCATAGTAAAAGCAGAAGTGCCAAGTATCCCCCTCACCCCAAAACACGGACGAATGGGTACTGTATCGACACCGCAAAAAAGCGCAAACCAACGAGTTACTGTGCCAGTATCATACCCCGTACATACTCCATCCCCGGGACTCGAACAATCTCCGCGGCCCGAGGGAGCACGGAGCGAACTCCACCGTATCCCTTTCCGCAAGCCGGAATGCAAATTTGGCCCTGATGGGAATGCATTTGAATTCGAGAAAAGAAACTCAATGTATGGCCCGAGTGATACCCCATGACCACCTCACCCCCCCCTCCCTCTCCGCGACCGGCACAACGCTTTCTGGCAAAGGTGCTCTGGAAGCCCCCACTCGTCTATCGACAAACCTTGTTCCGGTAAGGTGTGGTATTGGTGCTCACTGGGGGGTGTAAAAATAATGAGTAAAGAGTCCCATGCTGCAAGCATACAACCCGTTCCCGCCGGGATGGGTAGTGGGGACATATGTCTCACATGTTGATCCATCCTCCTGTCCACTTCCATACCCACAACACAATTTGCCATTTAACGGTCCCTTCCCCTTTCCCACCCCCCCTATTCCCTGCCGCACATCTTCATGCCGACAACTTATTGTCGCCCCACCCCCGCAAGAAAAGGAACGAAACAAGCCTGCATATTACGACTCAATTAAGTCCGTGCCCCCTCCAAATTCCCAAATTCCCAAATTCCCACACCTTGTGAAAATCCCGCATTCTGATTAGCAAATGGCCCGACATATCGTCCAACCTCCAGCGGTGCACACAACCTTTACTCGAGCGCCGTAGTCCTCCCCCTCCCCTCCATCGGCACATGCCATGCAACCTGTTACGCCTCGGGTAATGCGACACAGAAGGTAGGCTGATCACGCACACTCACTCGTGCCACGTGCCCATTGAGTTGCGGGAAAGCCGGGATGGGGTACTGGAGTATAGCGAGCTGCTAGCTGCAGCTGAGGCGGCGCAGTGGCTTTTGCGGCATGTTGAATGCGGAATTGGTGGGTGGGCTCGCCCGGTTAGTTAGTAGGAAGGGCTATCGTGCGATATCGGTATTGTATTTCTAGCCAACTATAATTTCTCAACCCCTTGGTCCGCGCGAGGCAAATGTTTCGCGCCTGGAGTAGGCGCTTTAATTGCGCAAAGCATCCATAGAGCAGTGGAAGGTTATTTTTCTTCTTCTCCCGCTTGGGGTGGTGCAGGACATGTTCTCTGCTTCTTGTTTTGTGAATATGTTGTACCAGTACTCACCTCCTCATGACCACCTCCCTAAAGAAAACCAGGTGTAATTAGTATAACGAGACCTCCAGATTTTTCACGCTAGTGTTACCTTCGAGCTGATACCTGCATAGATTCATTCCAAATACCTCCAAGCCAATCTCGCCTCCCGCCCTACTCGAGTACGTGTATCGCCTTGCCCGGAGTCGATACCAGCACGGCCCAGGTTGAGAGGTCATGCATAGAGTCATATAATGGACTTATGTGTATGGGAGAGCCAGATGAAGTTGACCGGTCCAAGGTAGTCTTGCATCACAACTACGATCGGCACCCTTCATTTACCCCAATTCCCCTCCTCCGGTCCCCAAATCTTTAGTTGTGCTTACCCTGCGCTCCCCTATGATCTACGACCTATTCCCGAACATTTGAGCTGACCCACCGATCCAAGGATCATCCCAAGTCGCAATACCATGGAACCAACCCTTCAGACATCGTATGATGAGAACAGCCAATCAAATCCCGACCTTCCGGAACAATCACAATCCAGCGAACTTCCACAACCACCAGTACTGGTCCCGCGGCCGGGGGGCGGAGACTGGAACCGCCCCCGCATTGTTCTAGCAAGGATAGGACTGGAAGGCTTCGTTCAGCAGAAAAGAGTTCAAGAACGTACTTATCTCCCCCCTCCCATACCCTCCCGTCTCCTTTTATCTAACAAGCGCAGGCGCAGCAGATGTCTATATGACAATGGGCCTTGCCGCCTTCGACAAAGGATGGGCGGGTTTGCCTGACTCTTTGAAGCGTCAAGCTTGCGAGATGCTCGAGCCAGAACTACCCCGCGAATCCAGTGAGCGTTGCGAAGGTGGTTGGTTAGCGGAGTACTTACTCGCAAGGCGGCATGTAGTGGAGAGACAAAAGCTTGGGAGTAGCACAAGGGGGAGGGGAGGGGGAGGGGGAGAAGGGGGAGGGGAAGGGGCGGGGGAATGGGTGGGGGAAGGGGCGGGGGAAGGAGGAGGACCTAGCAGTTAGTGTGCCATTCTGCTGAAAAGAGAGATCAGATAAATTATAAACTTTGTATCCATGAACAAACAAGCAAGCTGGAAGTCACAAGAGGTCACTCGGTATAATTCTCCCACCTCCGGGCAGTGGCAACAGTCACAGTTAGTCAGTTCCCCTTTCAAACTGCCCAGTACTTACACTCCCAAACTCAATCACAAACATGAGAAAGAAAAGGTGAAGGCAAGAATCAAGAATCACTACTCAATACCCCAACCCCCCCCCCCAATCCATGTAATCTCCCTCCACCTCCCAGTCCATCTTTTCCCCTTCTTCCTCCTCTATGCCTCCGCGCCCTCGCCAGTCCCGCCACTCTCGAAGAATAACTCGCGAACAGTCGTGCTCCCAATCCATCCGATCCTCGCCCTCAGCATTGAAATTCTCTCCAATAATTCGGCGAAAACTTCGTAGTACGACAATCACCCTCGCTAGGTTCTCACCGCTGCAGCAGCAGTTGTGGCTGTGATGGTAGTGGTAGGGGCGAGATCTAGAGCGGTGGCGGCGATGGGGCATTGGTTTGGTCATTTGACTTGTTAAGTTTGACCAGTTAGAGGTTCGGAAGGAGGAGGTATATATAGGCCATGAATAGTATCTTGAGGAAATCAGAGCAGAGAGCATCAGGAGGTTCTGGAACGAGTGTTCAGTATTAGGGAGCCTGGAGCCTTCCAGAGGTTCTATAGTGCATAAGGATCTTGCATTCAATTATGCAGAGTCTGAGATGAAAGTGGATGGCGCTTTCTCCCAGAGCACCGAACCATAGCGAAGCTTTGGGTTAGCGATTCCCGTTGGGTATTTTGACGCATGGTAGTTGTATAGCATTGGGATAGGTGGGGGCGGAGGCCAAGAGGCTGTACGGGTGCCTGCAGGTTTTTGGTTAACACGCTTCTGGCAGAGGAGCAGGTTTTGGGAACAAGACTTTGTCCTGTAGATGGTATGTATATACGCCGTTCTCCCGAGACTTCTTTCTTGGAAGGTTTTGGCCGCTGGGGTTGGGTCAGTGAAAGTGGTAGTCTCCGCAAATGTTTTTGGGATGTTTCCAAGTGCCATCCAGGGGAGCCACTGTTAGCAAAGACAGCCCAGTTACCTCAAATGGTGTCTTTAAATAGGTGAGATGTTTGACGAAAATATCATCATGGATTTTCCCCCGTTTACCCACAAGTCATCCCTAAGCGCGCACACACACCACAGCCCGCTTACACGTACCCAAATTATTCATTATCCCAATTCATTATCCCACTTATACGCATAGACTCTTCCCCCTAAAAAAACTGCTCACGAATTCAAGTACTTGTATCATACTCAACAGCCTATTCCCTTCTTGTCCCCACCTCTCAGGAACCCCCCAAAGATCCACAACCCCCTCCCCCCACACACATCTGCCCCCACCTTCAAAAAAAAAATTCTTACAACGCACCCTTTACGTTACTATCCCACCTCGATGCCTATCATGCAAAACTTATCGCGCCAGATATCGAACTTGCTCCCTCGATTTGTGGTCAAGCGTTCCGCCACCGGACGACGCATCCGAGGATATTCCGCTGGAAATTTTTCTTTTACGAGCAGTGTCTCAGGTGCCTTGGGCAGAGGCGGAAAGGCCCCGCTGTAAAATGTGATGCTGGTGCCGGTTTTCCGGTGGCTAGCCAGTGGGAGGAATAAAGTGGGATGGGTTGGCACAATTTTCTGTGACATAATTTTATGATATCTGATAGTCACTGCTATTTTTTACTCCGTGAAACACCTGGCTACATGTACTGTACCCTGACAAGCACACCGAGCTTTGAGAGCAATATTTGCGAATTTCGGAGCCTTCTCGGGCCCCCGAGACCTGAAATTTTCGAAATGAGTACCGGCACCGTACAGTACATATGCGTTGCCATATATATACCAAGCTCTTAAACTGAATTCTTCACAGGCGAAACAATCACAGGAGAATATCCCCACACCCACCAATGGTGAGAGAGAGTAGTGAGATATTGATCCTTAGATTATCGGCCATCATACTTGAATATGGAATCTGGTGGTAGTTTCTTGGGCAAATTAACATGGCGAACTCCAACCGTCCATGTTTATGTGTGTTGCGACTTCGCATTATTGGGGGAAGCCCTATCGTGCCAAGAGCAGTCCCCCGATATTTTCTTATTAGGGTTAAGAAATAACGGGTGGGAGTGGTCAAAAAAAGAAAGAAAGAAAGTCAATCGCACACCTACAAGTACGAGTATGATACAGTGAAACCTCCGTTATCTCAAGCTCCCCGGGAGACTTGATAGAAGTGACAGGGGGATGGAAGCTAAACTAGGCTTGGCGGAAGAGGGGTGCCAAAAAAGAAAATGAGTGATAATTCATGATAGGCGCACACCATATTGTCCAACTTGTTCACATGGAGGAGCAATGTATTTTGCCCAGCTTACAGATCCGAATCTATCCTAAAAATACACACACACACATTCAACCCCCTATCGTGTTGATTGAGGTGGGGAGTCTTTTTTTTCTTTCTTTTTTTCGCAGTAAGAGCGTTGCAGGGGCAGAAAGGTTGAACGATTTTCTTTTCTGCCCTCCTTGGGAGCCTAGAAAGAGGAACTAATAGAGCCCTAGAAGTTAGAGGGGGGGAAGCTCATATGATGGAACAAAATCTCTCTCCCTACAAGGGATAGAAATATCGGAGTCCTGGATATATCAAAGGGTGGAGTTAGCGGAGGTTTCACTGTACAAGGTTATGTAATTTATGACAAATCCGAAAGCCATGGAACTGGGGGGTGACATTTTGAACGGCAGGTCTGGTTGCCACCAAAAAACTCAATGATCGAGAAATATTTCTGGCCTGGGCCATAACGACCCGCTACAACCGCCAAAATTTTTTTTTTTTTTTTTTTTTGAGATGGGGACTTCGATGTGTTTCTCATCATACCGGTAATCATTCTGGGGGGTCTCTTTTTTTGGAAATTGATCTTCCTCACAGCCAGACACAACTTCTTGGAGCTTGAAAATTGACTAATCGTGACTGGCTTGCGATTACTTGAGTTGCCAGCCACAACTCACATTTTGATTGTACTGTACAGTACTCGTACCATGCATCAAAACCCTAGACCATCAGACGCACCCCTAATTTCGACGGATTATGCATGAAAATGACTGGAGCATCCAGCGCGGTGTCTAAAGAGAGAGTGGTGGAGAGACTTTCGACTACCGTAGTATTATACGTTACAGCCTGCTATGGAATGCTACACAAATGACCTAGAGTTGGTGTAGCTTCATCCACCTTCAGACTTGAGACTACGATACACGGAGTCTCCAACTTGTGGAGCACACTGCTGTGGGCAGGGTAACACTGCTTATCCCCATCACCGCCGGTATCAGACGAAATCCTCTTCATCGAATTAGAGCAGAAAAAAACATCTCGAAGCCCACTGCTGGCAAACATCAATTACTTGTGCCCAATCTAGCATCAGTCTTTCTATCCCCCCTCCATCACTAGTCTACTCGAGTGCAAGTATCATAGTCCCCCCCCATAATAGCTACTAGTACGGTATTCGTATCACAAAGAACGCTGCCGCGTATCGCTACCCTTCCATCCTTCATTTCCTCCCTCCTTGCAAGCAGACATCGCATGAGCAAATGCACAAGACCCACAGCGGAAACTTCCGCAGAGCCGCAACTACGGTACATTTCCCCCACCTACCTAAATGTGCCATGAAATTTCAATTCTCAACACCTCAGCTCCCAAGCGAACGGAACAGAGCAGAGCAAATTGTATCAACAAGAAATCATAATTAGACTATACTATCAATCGTACCTTCATCGTGTAGGAAGAGGAAATAAGAAAAAGAGAGAAGAAAAAGATGAAGAAAAAAGAAAAAAAAGTATTTTAATTGACAACGAAAAAGTGAGGAAAGGGGTTAGTTTTTGGCTCCAAACTTCTTCGCTCTGGCCTCTGCCTTCGCCTTCTCGATGGGGTCGTCCAGGACATTTTTCCTGGTAACGGGCCCACCGCCACGAACCGCGAGTACACCATTGCTGTTCCCCTTCTTATCATTATTGTTCCCACCCTGACCTCTCCTCCTCCTACGCCCCCGGGCATCATTACCCCCGGCACTCCTCGAGCCACCCTCACGAGGACGTTTCCCACCACGATCCCCGCCATCGGCCCCTTCACGCCCACGCTTCGGCCTCTCCTTCTTATCCGGCAGGGCGGCGTCTAAACCTTTAACAACTAGGCTCGCATTCTCAACAGCACCAAACTTCTTCGCGCGCTCGAGCATCTTCTCGGATTCGGTGTCTATGACGCCGAAGCGTTCCGCGCGCTTCTTCTTCTTGGCGAGTTCGGCTGCTGCGTCGGAGGATTTCAGACCTGCTGTGAAGGACTTCTCGGGTGCGCTGGTAGTGGCGGCAGGGGTGCCGGAGGTTGTGTTGTCATCTGTAACGGTGGAAGGGGAGGAGGGAGAGGTGGTTTTCACCGGAGCGTCGAATAAAGATGCGATTGATTTCTTCTTGGGCTTCTCTGGTTGTGTGGGTGTGGAGGTAGCAGCGGAGTTGGCGGCTTCGGCCTTGGGCGCGGAGGTTGTGGCTGGAGGTTTTGAAGTGGTGGTAGTAGTAGTCGCAGCAGCCGGCGCGGTAATGGTGGCAGCAGTGGGAGCTGCGGGAACAGTCTCGTCGTTGTCCTCCCAGTCAACTTCGTAGTCATCAGCAGTTGGTAGGTGAGCAGCGGCTTTTGGAGTTTCAGCCGCTGGTGTAGGTGCAGCGGCAGCATCGGATGCCACAAGACGCGCGATTAGGTCAGATTTGACGCCGTTAGTAGGGAGCGAGCGCTTTTGGAGGGCATCACGAAGGTCGGGGACTTTGAGTTTTGAGTAGTCGGTCATGGCGACGGTTGATGAGTTCGTTTCCGCTGAGGAAAAGTTATGGTGGGAGGGTGGATGGCAGGTGAGTTGTGGTTGATAGAAAATAAATCCAGGAGGGAAGGTAAGGTGTGGTGTGGTTGTGAAAGGGGGTTGGCAAGGCAGGTATCAGGACGCGGCGCGGGTTACGGGTTTGTTTTGGTTTGGGATCTAGTGGTTATTGGGTATACTAAGATATACCCCTACACTCCGTTATTATGAGAACAACAAGGCCATGAGGGCGAATCATCATGTCCCGGCTTGAAGGCCTTTAAACTAGATACAAAAGAACATTCCCATAAAGCTAGAAACGCTAGACCAAAAGGAAGAAAGAAAGCAACACGAACCAATGCGCTTCGTCCATACCCAGCTCTATGACCAACGATCACCAAACTACGACCAATGAGGTTCTAATAAAACCTGCAAGTCAACAAACCACTTTCACTCAAGCCCAATCTTCTCCCTCATACTAGGGCCATTAATTAATTCAACATCAGCTTTCCTTCCCCCTCCCCCTCCCCCTCTCCTCTCTTACCAACAAGATGCCAAACCAGCCCCAAATCTTTTCACCCCAAATCTTTTCACCATAACTCATCCTTTCCGCCGTACAACATTACAAAAACCTTAGCAAAAAAGAGCTCCAAGAATGGTCGCGGCAGTGATCGAACCTGCAATCTCTTGATTCGTAGTCAAGCACCTTGCCATTGGGCCACGCGACCGATGGGGTTTGACTTTCAGGCCTTTCAGATGTTTTTGTTCAGTCATGATACGTCACTCGATATTAGATTTTTCTCGTTGCGGGAATGCTTACTCGTTTTAACCTTACTGCACGAATCTGATCCATCGGGGAGGTTCGTCTCTCGATAGCTAATGAAGTACCAGACCTTCAATAAGTGGTTGGCTGGCCTAGAATCAGGGGATGGGGGTATCCGTCGTACTACATTGACGTTTTGCAACTCTTATTTGGTAGCTTCTTTGCTCGTTTGGTGTTGCTCGTATGCAAATATTATTCTACTATGCTGCCACTATTGTGCCTCAGAAGGTTCTACCAGGATCCGATCTCAATACATTCATGTTTACCCTGAGAGTGTGATACAAACGGGAAGCCCCTGCGGTAGTTGCTGGCCACTCGACAAAGACGGATACCCACAACCGGAGGTTCACCGCGGTATGTATTTCGTTGGTATGATAGACGATTTCAAAAACGGGATGACAGGCGAGTAGGTTCTGCCTTTCACCGCCGGATCCATGGGATTCTGTCCTTTGAACGCACGCTCTCTGGTTCTTGGGGCCCAAGTGCTGAAGTTGATGTCTCACAAGCCCGGAGGAATAATTATCCGGTATCCTTGGCACCTGGATTCTGGACGTCAAGAGCAGTACTACCTCGTTTGTTGTAGGGGCGTTGGTGGGCATTTCACTTATAAGTGGAAGCAGTTATTCGGAAGGGTCGGGCCTTCCCATCAGAGGTGATGGGAGCGGTTCATTCAATATTTATTGTTCATTAAATCACATGATGTGGCGCATGGAGCTTATTACATGGCTCCGGAACCTCAGACTTTACTCTGCTTGCGCATCAATAACGGTGGTTTTTCTTCGTCTGCGCTGTCCGGAGTAGGATTGCTTCTACGGTCTATACTAGTAATTTAGGAAGGACAAGCATCTCCCGCTTCTCTTCAGCTTTTCGACTTTCTAAAAGACTTCCCCCTTTCAAACCCGTCCCAACCGAAAGCTAGACTAGCAATTGAGGAAGAAGGGAGAAAGGGAGAAAGGGAAAAACGAGACATTGACCGACCCGAGCCGCAAGAACGAGGTGGCCATCACAACATTCAATCTGTCTGAGGGTTCCGTTGGATTCCGTCCTATTTCAGATATTGAGCCTTTTTTGAGCAAAGTTCTAGAACTACGTGGCGCTATTGATAATGAGGTGGGTGTCAATAGTTTCCCTGCTGTACAAGTACGAGTATCATACCGTACAGCCTCTGGTCGAGAAAATGGGGAAATGTGGAAATTAAAAGTCAAAAACACGGTTGCTCAGTTGGCTCGAACACACTGAATGCTCAAACCAGACGGCCGGGAGCCTGATCCCTGTTTCCCTGTTTTTTTCGACCTGAGGCTGTATGTGATCTCGCGCGGCAACAGAAGCTTATGAAGCTCTCCTGGGACATCTCACGGCCGCATGGCGATTCTGCACACACCTGTACAGCAGTATTGGCTTGAATACGTGGCTTGGAAGAAGTAGCGCTTTGTAATCTAGGCAAAGGGCAAAACCCCGGTCCCGGTGAAGATCTTCACGCCCCCAGAGGATGCAGGCATGTTTTGCTGCCATGTTCCTAGCGAACTTTATACGGCTAGGCAAATGGGAGGGGGGTTTTGCACCGGCGAATTGCATGTGCTGGTGCCTGGTGGGAACTGTGGTTGAGCGTATTGCGTGGACTGAAAATATCGTGAGTCTCTCCATACCAATCATGATTGTTATAAGTGCCAAGTCTGGCAGGTTTGACCGCTTGCGGTTTTGGCGAACCCAAGGACCCGGGGATATTTACCTGTATGCTCTGATACGAGCCCGGTCCTGGAGTGAGAGTCAAGGGCGTGAGCATGGTGGCCAAAGGAAATCCCGCGCAGGAAGACTGAACTCTACGAAACCCGGTGAAGGAGTTTGACATGCTTAATGCCGTTTTAGGCAATGGAGAGTAGAAAACTGTTGATGGAGGTATATCAGGATCGAGTATTTTCTGCGGCCGAGTGCGATATCAAATTGAGTGGTATTGACGGAAAGAATGAGGAACTGTTGGGAAGGTGTCAGGTCGTTGCTGCGAAGCCAAATGCAGGATAAAAAATGGAGGCTATCAGTGGTGGAGAGGAGATTTGGGGTGCCTTTGTGGGGCTTGAGGTATGTTCCGGTGGATGCCGCCCTTGTCTCATCCGTTCGTTCTTTGCAATGGGAGTGAGTTATCGTACTTGTTATAAATATCGTGCTCTCTAACCGTACTGTGGCTATGACCTCTGCACTGCTCTCTGGGGAACTGTTGGGCTTGAACCTTTCTCCACAGCTAATTGCGTAGCTAGGAAGCAGAGGGTGGTAGTATAAGAGAAAGCGCACCTCACAAAATTGGCCTCTTTGTTTGCTCATGAAGTATCTCTCCTCCCTATCTACCACAGTATCATACTCGGGTGTATTCATAAAAATCGGAAAGACCGATACCCCCTACCCCCCCGTCGTGCATGGTTAGTGAGCAGAAAACAGGAAATATTTAAATCCTCAATGGGGGATCTGCATTCCAAGAATACGTATCATGTCGAAAAGGAAAACAGGCACACCAGGGGCAGAATTCAGCGAAACCTTGCGATGCTGGAGCAAGGCGTATCCCCCTCCCCCTTTTTTCTTACTTGCAATCCACACTTTTGCCCCTAGTTATGATAGCTGTATTTTGGTCTCCTACTTGACATCATGATAAATATCACTCCGTGTAACGTACTTTGCTTAAGATATCTAGTAGCATAGTTGGGCTTTCCAGGCAACCCCATCTCCTGATCCCCTTGATCCCCGCTTTTCGATTCCCAGCTCCCGATCTCTACAGACCGCCCTAGTACGGAATGGGACTCTCTATTGCCTTCTACTCGGGTACGGCATTTCCCAACCGCCGAGCTGTGTTTGCCGGTACAAGGCAAAAGGGGGATGGTCTCGTACAAGACAGGGATTATTTTGCGGGTTAACCTAAATTAACTGTTAGGTAACTTTCTGGAGAGCACTGTACAATAATTGAGCAGATAAGGGCATTGATCAACCAGTCAAGTGTGGGTTTCTGAAAGATTCTTTCACAGCCACCACCCAAATCATATCGATAGTGCTGGACTACGGTAAGCTGGGAGCAAATCGCTGGGGGCTAGCAGAGACCAACCCCGCTCAAGCCTAGGCCTACAAAGAAAAAGCCTGAGCATGGGAGAATGCAAGATATCACATCGAGTGATGAACTATGCAAACTAGGCAATATCTGGAACGGCAAGGGGGGAGCGCTATTCCTACGTCACTTCCCTGGCTGAAAAAAAAAAGAAATCATTTGAAAGCAAGAAAAAGGTAGGAGGATGCCCCACATTATCTTGGGGTTTAAAGCGGGGTCACCATATTACTCCCGGCCTCTGGGGTGAGCTGGATATAACCGTACCGGTACCGGTACTCAAGAAGAACCCTATCATACGGTAGGTTTTCAGAGGGTTTTCTCATTGAATCGAAGACCCTCTCAATGGCCTAATTGAACGGCTGAAATGGCGACAGCGCTATACTCGTCTCGGGCAAGAGATAACCAAAAACAGAAACCAGAAAAATATCCATGGCAAATCATCCGTGCGTAGCTGTGAGCAAACAAAATCATACCCTCAACCTTAGGGCATTTCCTTCTCATTGCGAGTAAACTCTCCCAGCCACTCGATCTCCGGATATCCGGGGGTGGTTCTCATACCGTACTAGGACCAGCTACCCAAAAAAACTTCAGGAGAAGCAGATGTGGGGACGGCCCAACAGCCAAGACGTGACAAGGAATATCAGAATGGTGGGGCACTCAATACCCGAGCAGAGATATCGCAATCAATACCGATAAGTCAATGGTTGTACTCGAGTACAGTACCCGAGGATGCACTGCGCAGGGGGGTTTCCCTTTTTGGTTTTTTTTTTCCCTCATGGATGTACTCCAGTATAGTGCTCGAGTAATGTGCTCGGGTGTACCGGTAATGGTACTTCGCTCGCGGTAACACCAGTCCTCGTCCAGCGAGCGCCCGACCTTTGTCAACCCCCTACGGTAGTACTAGGGTCGGGCAGTAAAAAGTGGTACGATGGTACAATGCACACAAGAAACATGGCTCTGGAAGGATCCTTATCTCCTCTTGCCCCAGCCAACTCTTAAGAAATATAATTGATGGGTGAAGGAATTCTGCTTCCCAGGTCGCTGGGCAATTGAAGGTTTTGTGTTCCCAGGCGCGTTGCTCGTGCCGTACCACTAATATTGATTAAAATTGATACCCTGGTTCCCGTACTGTACCACTTTTTATTGTTGCCTGACCGTTGTGGAAAACGTGTGCCGATCTTCGAGGCTACTTGTAACTCCAACCAACGGAGTGCCGGTATACAAGTAGTACCTAGCACGGCAAAAATATTGCCGAAATGGGAAGTGGTTCTAAGTTTGTCGCATGAAAGGCAGAATTAGCGAAGTGTGACTTGTTCCCTACTCGAGCGAGTACTGTACACGAGCACATGCCCAGCCGCCATTCATTTTTTGGGGGTGACTTGCCATCACTTTGCAGCAGGTTTCCCTATTTACCGCGGCGAACTGTGTGAGACCGAATCTAATTGTGGACTTGGGTTTGCTGGCATCTGGCATTACTTGTTGGGTTACCGTAGATGCTCTTGAAATCCGTTACCAGATTTTAGTCTGTTCCTGGCGTCGCGAGAATTGACGAGCCTTTTCGGTCTGATTGGTCGAGGTTTGTGTTGATTGTCTCCTGTGCAGGTACAGTACAGTACTGTGCAGTACTTGTAACTTTCAATGCCGACATCTCACGACACTGAAACCGACTGTGTGTGCAAAAATCATCCTGTCAGCCTGCGGCCCACGATGGATTTGGGTATTGTTAGGGTACTGTACGAGTACTCGAGTATCATGATATAAGTGCGAATAACCGGTTGATGAGATCCAGCACGCCTGGTGCGCCGATCCCATCCCCTGGTCCCTTACGGAGCCCAAGAGATCGGTGGAACAGGTCTCACCCTAAAACCCCAGTAATTTATTTCCGGTCAAGGAAGGATACTGTCCAGATCCCGTTATTTTCTTGACCAAGATCTCTTGGGCGCGGCACCCGACGGATTCTGGGATGCCGTTTCAGGAAAGGCTTATTCCTTCCGAAGAGCTTCTTGTCTCCGAACGCGGAGATTGCTGGGCTGGCGGATATAACCGGTACCGGTAGTAGATTTCGAGAGTTTTCACGGGGAAGCTGAAAAGAACTTGGCTCACTGTAGACTTAGGAGGGGTGCGGGTGCCTAGGGTTGATCAACTCACGCAAGAACAATGTGCCTGCCGAAACTTCCTATCGTGTTTGTGGGGGCGCGGGATGGTGTTTGCGCTTACTCAAGTACTCGTACAGGTAATAATCCTCTTATGAAGAAACACTAATATCAAGAGATTCACTTTTTTGGCTAGCGTTTCTTTCTATCATACTCTACCGGGTGAAACGGGTTTCGAGAATAATTGGGAACATTTAACACCGGAATGGTACAGCGTGTCGGGCGTCTCAAGGAGTCACTCGGCCTCCTCGCCAAGAGTTGGTGATAGTGTGCCGCGGTTGGAATAGCACTGGCAACTATCCCGGCAAGTAGGGTAGATGAGTAATGCGTGCATCACAGGTTGAATCGAGAGTTCCTTGCACGTAAATTAAATTATGACGCTGATCAATGGAGAAACACCAAAATCCGAGGCCTGTTGCACCAGACCCCGTTCACACTGTAAGTTGAAATGAAATACGGTACCCCTTGAAGATGGGGTCATGAGGGTGGCTCCAAGGTGCCGACACCATAGGTATAGTACGAGTACTCGTACAGTGCTCAGGAAGGTCCTATTGCGATATCGCTCTCATAATCTCGGGTACTGAAACTCGACCCTCTGCTCACTTCCTCCGCTTAGTAATACATACAAGAAAAGTACCGCGATGCATTGGGATAAATTTGTATGTATGTGTGTTCTTTTTTTTTTCAGCCCCTCTCACCTCTCTTAACCGGTGCTCGCTTTATTATCGAAAAACAAAAGTCACCCGAATTAAGTATGATAGGAGTCGATTTTAAGTATGATAACCCTTGACTGAGGGTCTTGGGAAAAAAACTTTGTTGTTGTAAGGTAGTTAGGGCCCGTTCGTTGGTGGACCCGGTCCTTGTGAGGGCTGACTTCAAGTTCAGACACCCTGCACCCTACCGTGCTGTACTAGTGCCAGTACAAGTACAGTATACTTCTTTCTTTGCTTTACAAATGAAGTCACTGGAATCGGCGATAGCAAGGTACTCAGGACATCCTTGGTCCAAGACTCCGAGAACATCTCACTTTTAGGGAGCATCCCGGGTCGTGATGACCTGTCCCACTCTTTGCCAGTCGCTTGGTTCATAGCCAAGAGACGGGAAGGAAAAAGTACATCTCGTATCCTCGTCAAAACTACCGGTAATTACAGTACTAGTATCATAATCGAGTCGAGTACTGTACTCGTCCTCGAGCACATCCTTCAGCCTCTCTAACCGAACGGGCGACGGGAATCTACCACGAGAAGCAACACTGAGTTGCCTAAGATAATAATAATTGCCTCATGCATAGTGCTGGGGTTTTCGCTCGCAAAAAGGCCGATTTCGTTTGTTGATCCCGGTTGAGTAGGATAAAGAATGAGGTCAACATTTGTGTACTATACTAGTACGGTTTCCCTATTATACTTTTTTTTTTTTAACGGTTCGGCGATGGCCTAGTGATTGAGTTTGCACGTAATATTACACTTGTATTGTACTGTACGAGCACTACAGTACTGTACTGTACTGTATGTACAGTACAATACTGGTAGTGCAGGGCTAGACAGCGCAACGTGAAAAAAAAACGTGCTTGGTGCAATTCTCCCAAGAGAACTTCCTCTTAAAGTGCCATATCCAACAGGTCCCGGTGCGACGTGTGCCATGACGGAGAATAAAATCACCTGGACCTCGTTATTCGTGGACAGAGACCGTGTCCAAAAATTAGCCATCTTGTACCTCCATCCATGGCAGCACAAACTCTCAGGATAACCTGAAGCCGGGAAAGCCGGGCGGATGCTTTTGACTCGGCCAAACATCCGCTCCAGGTTCTGTCGCGCGAGAAGGCTAGACTTGTCAAGATAGGGAACAGCGCGACTCCAACAATCTCCGATGTGTACTGTACGAGCATTTGCATAGGAGCACAGTATCAGAAATCGTCCCTTTTTTGTTGAGAAGCGGAAGGAGAAGCGAGCTGGAGTGGGTAGCCAAGACGGCTCCCCTAGGTCTTGTGCGCTGGTTTAAAAATCCAGGCGGTTCTCACTAACTAACATACCCGTGCAGTAGGGCTGGGCGGGGTGAGGAAGGTGGTCCTGAAGGGGCTTCCAATGGGGGTGTTCAGGATATAATTAGACATAGTACCGAGCCGGTCGTTTGTGGGCGCCCGGGGCAAGGGAGGCTGCGTAGTTGTGCCATTGCAGATCACCAGGGCCGGTTGATGGTGCCTCGAGTAGCAAGTGGTGTGTTTACTGCTATTTTTCAAGCCAGGGCTGTTGTGTGGTACAAAGTGACTAACTTTACGCCAAGGATGATTGCGGTAGTGTTTGCACAACAAGTACTGTACTTTTATTGCACGGGAATAGGGTAGTTAGGCCTTGCAGTTTTGGGTTCCTTGAGTACCATTCGAATCTGGTTGGGGATATTGTGAGACCTCGGACGAGAGGATCGAGGACTAGCAGTCAGATATTCCAACAACGACAGCCAATTACATAGTGACTAAATTTGCTCCTTTCGTACCCCCTATCGAACCTGCAACGTAAGGTGAATGATAATTTCGCTCCCCGGCTGGAAAACTAGATTTGCAAGGAGGAGCTGTTCTAGTGTTATGGATGCTTAAATACGAGACGATACCTTCGAACTCCTCTTCCTTTTTTCTTTTCTACCACTAGCTCCCGTTTCCTGCTTCCTCTGGTGTGCCCCCTCACGTTCTGTCGTTACAAATTAATCATGAATACACGAAATCTCTTCCTTCTCGCCCTTGCCGGGTTCACCAGTGGGGTCCTCTCCGAAAACATAGTGATAGATGACTTCAAGAAACAGGGCACCAACAATTTAAATGTCTACCACGGCTGTGACGAGGGCGGTGGGATCTCATGTTCGTGGGGCGGCGATGGCCTAACTATCAGATCCTCAGATGTCGACTACTCCTACTACAGTCAATTCACCAGCCAACGCGGCGATGGCGGTTGCCAGGATATCTCATCCTGGGAGCGTCGGTTCGTACACATCAAGTTCTCAGGAAGCCCAGATTTCTCCGTCGCCTTGCAGCAGAACAACGGCCAGTGCAGCACGACCCAAGCGCCCTACCCTGAGACCTGGGACATCGTGTACGCTGCGGACTACTCCGATGGGTCGGACATCTACATCCCCATTTCTCACTTTAGCATTGACAGGAGCCGAGCAATTGGGTTTGCGTTTAAGGCCTTTAGAAATGCTGGTGCCGAGACCAAGTTCTCGCTCCTTGAGATTGTGGATGCGCTCCCCGGAGGCCGAAGTGTACCGGAGAAGAAGCCTACTGGACCACTGTACTTTGCTTGTACCAGGCCGAATAGTATTGCTTTCGGTATCGACGATGGGGTTCCGGAGTTTGCACAGCAAGTGATGGATATTATTGAGCAGGAGAATATCAAGGTTACCTTCTTCACCGTTGGTCAGGCTTTGGACGATTCTTCACAAAACTTCAAGCAAGTTTACCAGGATGCTATTAAAAAGGGTCATCAAGTTTGTCCCCCCCCCACTTTTCCTCTTCTTCTACCCTTAGAACAAGATGCTTACATCCATCGGCCATGCAGGTCGCTCTGCACTCCTACACCCACCCCAAAATCGAAGGCCTTCTGGACCTCAGTGTAATCGACAATGAGTTCAGACTAAGCAGAGAATCCACTCTCCGCAACCTCGGTGTCGATTCAAAGTACTTCCGTGCCCCTTACGGTACCGACGGAGCCCTCACCCGCCAGCGCTTGCAAGCCAATGTCCCAGGAGCAAAGGTCATCAACTGGTCCGTCGATATCGAAGATTGGCGCTGGGGCCAGTCCCCCTCACCGGAGAACTTGAAGCAGACCGAGGCCGTTACCCGGGACCTCGGGAAGGGTGGTAACCTATTCGTTGCGCACTACCTGTACCCCTCCACTGTGGAGCAGTTCAGGACGTTTATTCAACTGGCTAAGAAGACTGGGAAGACTATCATGAGGATTGATCAATGTTTGCACCCCCCCCCCTTGAAGCTCTCGCGATGAGGAGTCTTAATAAATTGAATAGGTCTCGAAGATCCCGAAGCTCCACCGCTATAAATAGCAAAGGAAGGGAAAAGGGGATGAAAAAGGTTAAAAAAAAAAAAGCTGTAGTTTAAGGTAGTCAGTGAAAATGGCCGGTTTTGCGTTGGTTGGGTAAGGAATCATGTACTCGAGTGGGCACACGTATGGGAGGATTTAATGTTAATACATCGGTAATGGCTTTTCCATTATCTTTACTTATCTCTTATTTTCCACCATTCTCGTCAAGTTTCTCCGGCAAGAACTTTGCTCCGGGTCCGTGAACCGTAATGGCTTTTGTAGGTGATTGTTTGGGAGATGGAGGTTGGGATGCAGCCCACCAATAAACTACAGTCATGTTACCGTAGTGATACTGTCGTGCAACGAAGTCTGTGTGGTTATCGGGTCAAGGTACTTGGCAAAAGCAGAATAGCTGATTGGACACACGGATAAGTTACGAGTAACAGTGCCCGAGTACAGTACAGTATCATAATACTGTACTGTACCAGCCTGAGTCTTCCTATAGGAAACGCCTGAAGGGAAATCCGATTGCGCTCACCAAACAGCCAATAAGCAGGTAAAAAAGCGAAAAAAAAACCATCCCCCTATTTCCACTCTCGCACTCTTCTTCCACTTAATCATCCGTCACTCCGTTCACTGCGCTCTAGATAAGTACCGTGAACCATCCGTCAACCATTCCATTCGTCCCTGTCCAATCCGCGAGCTACAACAATGTCCCCCCTTCAAGCCTCGAAACATGACCAAAAACATCAATCTCCAAGCACCAGCGCTACAGAAATGTTGAGAGCACGGGTCAATGGCGCGAAGGGCAGGTTCAGAACATAAGTGATTTAACATATCTATGATATGATACATGTACAGTACCACAGACTCGACAGGATGTATGGTGCCGGGGCCTGGAATTGGACAGATCCGACAAGGAATGGGGGCCCCAACAACAAGTTTGGAGAGAAAAAGCTCTATATAAATGCTGAAAATGGTCTCCCCCTTAGTTCTATGAATTCAGGAGGGGGGGGGGGCGGGGTTGGGAAAAAAAGTGAACACATCGATTAGCGGTATTGACAATAGGTATGGGTTTGCGAGCTCTTAATAGTGAGTTAATAGAAGGACGAGTGTCCTCAAAGTTAGGGTTAAAAAACAATAATAATAAAGGTGTGCATGGGTCGGAGCTTAACTTAATAACCATACAGCAAACTCAACACCTCAACCAGAACTTAACCCCCCCCTCTGTGTGGACTGGCACCAGATTGGCACAGAGTGCGAACCGATACCAGGACGAGGGAGCTAGCAGGAATACAGGCATCCCATAGCGCTCCCTTACCTCATAATACGATTCCCATCGCATTCATTCCCCATTGCTGGTAACTTACTGCTCTAGCTATGATACTTCCCGGGTAGCTCTTCCCAAACGTAAGCTGTGCCTCCAGCTCCACAGAGAAGCTTTGAAGAGTCCAATCCAGATGTTCACCTGGCTGCACACTTAGAGGATAGTATCATACTGTACCCTTGGTGCAGTACAGTACAGGGGATGAGGTAGCTCGGGAAAAGGAATTCTGCTATCATAATTATTACATTATTTTCTTTGATACCTTTGGCGTTACTGTAATTAATTAAGGACGGCGCACTCTACCCGTGCAGTATACATGACACCATGTTGGCATTTGAGTGGGTGCTGCTGCCCGGCATCCAACATTGATTTCTTCATTGTTGTATTGTGCTGTGCTATCAGAGGCCAGCAACTTGATGCACGGTATGATACGTGCTAACTTAGCCAACCACAATCCCCCAATACTGGGGTGGGTATGGTACTGCACTATGCACTATGCACTATGCTGGGGCCCTGAGCTTCTACTGCAAGGTTTACTTGTGGAAGTTCGAGCAAGGACCTTCCGTCTTCATTCCCCCTTTCACCAAATGAGGTAGCACAAGCCCTACTCTCGATAGTATAGTATCATACCTCTAAATCTCACTCAAAACTCTGTCTCAATCATCAAATCATATAGTGATATCTTCATCATCATAACTAGCTAATTAACTAAACGGGCTGATAACACACATGTGCTTGTGACAAAGGAGAGCTAAGAACGCATCCACCTCCTTCTGCTCCTGCTCCCTCCACTCTCAAAGGAACGTGAGGAAAAAAGGTAAAAGAAAAAAAAAGAAAAAGAAAAAATTGGAAAAGAACATAAGGGCATTAAATCATGACTCCAGCGTTGCACTCGCGATAGTGACAGAAGAGAAGGGAAGGGAAACAAAGAAACGAAACCACCACCATCCCCACCACTGCAAGAATCCAGCAGCATTACTATATCTTATCTGACCCAAACCCCCATTTCCTTAGCTCTGACCTCACCCACCATGATATTCTCCACCCGGGCTCTAAGCGTCCTCCGCTCCTTCATGACAACCTCGCACTCCATCTTCCGCATTATCTCGACTTCCTCGAGCATCCCTCCTGCAAGCAGCGCATAGCCTTCCGCAACCCTTTGCACAGTAGTCTTGACTGCATCGTCATCCCCCAACGTTCCAAAGAGTTCCCGAACGCCCTCGATGCCCTTTAGGGCGGATTGCAACTTTCTCTCGACGGTGTCGCAATCGTATCGCCAATTCTCGCCAATCCCGTCGACCCACTTTTCCCTGCCGGTGGCAGAAGAGTTGTACCCGCTAATCCACTCGCCAAAGGTCGCGGATAGTTTACGGAACTCGCCGGTTTTTAGTGCGTCCGTGCGCTTGATGCCCTCCGAGAATGCCTGAACGAGCTCCTCTGGTGACCTTATCGTCTGGCGGCGCTTCGTTGGGATGGTAGAACCAGTGTTTACAACGAGGGCTAAAGAGTCCAAGTTTGCGCGGTTCTGCCTTTTTATACTGGTTTCGCGGACGTCATAGTGTCTGGCTGAGAGTTGCTCAAAGCGGGATTTTAGGGTTGTGGTCGCCGAGGCTATGAGTTCTTGGTATACTTGGCCTGATGAGGAGTGTAGCGTTAGGAGTTGGAGGAGTTGCGCTTGTTGGTGGATGGTTTGAGTGTCTAGTGGGGGCGGTGGGAGGATTCTTGATCGAGGGGAGGGACCAGAGGGCGCGGGTTGAGGGTATTCCTGGCTGAAGGAACTGAAGGGGGGGCGTTTGCTGTTACCAGCTGGCGGGGTGGTGTTATTTTTTGTTGCTGTTCCGGGGCGAGAGTTGCTGCTGGGTGTTACAGATGCAGTGGACACGGTGGACGCACTCCGCCTATGAGCTTTCACTGGAGCTACCGGGATGGAACCGGTGGTCGGTCTGCGAGCTGCAGATGCAGTCGCAGAACTGATCGGCTCCGCCCCAAGTTTGGACAGAGAGCTCGTGCTATTATTATAGACCGAGTTCGGCCGCAGTCTTCCGGCCTTCGCAGGCCCATTCGGAGCAGTGGTAGCAGAAGGATCAGTCTTCGCACCGCTTCCAATACTAGATTTGTGCGTCCTTAGGCTCATAGTCCTCCCCAATATCCCCTTTGACTCAGCCGACTTTTTCTCCTTATCCTTGTCCTTCTCCGAGTCACCTCCCTTCGAGGACCGGAACGTCATGGACATGGCCCTACCAAGCCGACTGGACGACTCGTCCCCCTTCTTTTTCTCCGGCGAATCGGGTTTATTGTGAGAGCGTAAACTCAACATCTTCCCAAGCCCCTTATGCTTCTTCGGTTCATCGGACTTTTTTGACTTGCCTTTACTCCCAGAGCTCGAGTTGCTGATGTTGCTCCTCATGCTCATGGTTCTCCCACCATTGGGTGCCGGTGGCGGAGGCATTCTCGAGCTATCCTCGATCGCTTCGGGAACGAGGTTCACGCTCCCACTCCCGCTCGCGGTGTTTATCATGCTCACTGGCCGTGGAGGGCTAAGCCTCGGATTCCCAGACGCCGAGAATGGCATCATCTTTGACTTTGACGAGGAGCCCGGACGAGATGTTGGCGGAGAGACTCTTCGAATGGTAACGGTAGGGGGCGAGGAGTTCCCGGAGTGTCTGGGCAGCCGCGAAGGTGACGGGACTGGAAGAGGCATGTTGTGAGTATTCAATGGTGTTTACCATGAAGTGGAGGGGAACAAGAAGAGATGGGGAGGGTAATTAATTATGAAGAGAAATGAAAGACCCACTTATGATAACTGTCAGGCCACGAAAGGAAGGTTGTTTGTGAAATTTTGCCGAGGAGGGTAATTGTTGTTGTGCTTGTCCTGTTTGGTGAGTGAGGCTCTAGCCGTTGTTCCGACTACGAGTTTTGGCAACCGTTGCAAGTCCAACCGGACTAAAAAATTGTCATCTAATCTCACTCGATCACAGATTCACAATTGTTCTTAATTTTGGGAAGAGAAGGAGAGGATAATAGAGATAGTCATTTCTCAGGTGATAAGACACATCCTGAGAACATGAGGAATTACATTCGGATTGCTATCCACATTAATAATCTGGAAAGAGGTAAGAAAAATGAAAAGTTTCCATCCAGACCATATGATACAGGCATTAAACCAATTTGAACCAAGCGAAATATAAATTCCAATCTGGTCCGGAATTTCGTGACTTTTGCCATTCCTATAACCCACTGCTTGATCCTTTCCTACTATGATACCTGGTCATGGTCTCGACTGCGGCCCCAGGAGACAGTTCCAAAGATCTAATTCTGCAAAGTATCACTCCAGAAAAGGGAGGTAAATCATGGTATTTCTACTAGCCTGAGAGAGAGAAGTCTAAGAAGAAGGAGAAGGGGAAAATGCCCTTCATATTGAGAAATTGAGCTTTGCATGATCAAAAAAATGGAATTTTGTACCGTGTTCGCAAGATGCTAATCATGTTATCAGTAAATGGTACGATAGTTGGCAGGTGGTCTGCTCTACCAGAGAGCAGGTGAGAGCTGAGAACGAAAGAAGGCTTTGAAGGTATACTGAGAAACAAGGAGGTAACCGTTCAACCAAGTATATTGAAATACTGTCTGTCGAAGTCTGCCTATTCCATTGTGGAAACAGGCAGTCTTTAAATACTGTTAGGAATACCAGAACCCGATACCTAGGAGCCACCCTAAGTAGGGTAACCCCACTCGGAATCGGAATCTCTGGTCTCCAACACCCTCCTCCGGCTCATCTTACGGGGCCCGCACGTTATCATATATATCAATCTCAGTTGCGTCCTGTGACTATATTACCACAGAATTGAAGGTGTTGGAATAACACCATATAAATCGTCGCTGTCCATCCGACCGGATCCTGTTCACAGGATATCTGAGAGGGGACCTTCGGCTAGGTCTGAGAAGTGGAACAGAGTGATTCTGTCAACTACTCAGAGAGTTACTAGGCTTCAAAGACATGACACCTTTGGCATGGGCCGTAAGTAACAGGACGATTTTGAACAAAGAGATTGTATCAAATGGTAAAAGATCTCTACTAGAGACCAATACATTTACATCTACCAGAAGAGCCTAGAACTCCAAAGGACACTACCAAAGAAGCCAACGAACTTCATGGAGTGTTGCAACTGGGTTTTAGAACATGTCGTAATTATGGGTGATTCTCAATACTACAATGATTACTGAAACCCACTACCCAGAGAGCAACCAAGGATTGCCGACCGCGGGATTAATTACCAATCTGATGGAATAGCTTCCTGCAAGTTAATAGGAAGTCATCCAGAGAAAATCTATGGGTTGGGTATGGAGTTACAAAGGATCGGAGTCAGACGACCTACGATGGTCGTAATGACGACCACCTTTGCAGATATAGCCATGGATAAAACTGATTATTTTATCAAAGGCGAAGACAATTGAGGCCAACTCAGTTCGACTTAAGAACTAGGCCATAATTCTAAAGATTCTAATAATCGGGATGTTACTATTGGGGACAGCATGTTCCCTAAGAAAAATGTTGTAATTACCGAAGAGGGTGTGATGGTTTTCAGGGTCCACCGGTGTTCGCACCTTGGAAGAAAACTCAATGTTGCGAATTACGATTGAAGAAGTACATAGTTGTGTGATAAATAGAGGTAGTCTGCCAACACTCAGACGTGGAATATAAATATCGAAGTGCCTCTCAAGCTTTAGACATTATCAAGCAATGGAGAAGAGACCTTAACAATATAATATTGTTTTTACGATTCTACCCTACTTTACCTATTTCACTACGCTCCTAGTAGTCATAAATGAAACGAGCAAAGTCTGCGCCTTCCTAGACAATTTCCGTCTACAAAAACGAATCTCGATTGGCCTAGACAACATAGAAGTCTATCAAGTTGTCTCCGCCTAACAGAAAGCTTATAAGAGGTGTTCGCAATTGAAGACAGAGGTCTTGTACTATCGGCAAGGTAGGCTGAGGCCTAGTGCTATTAGAAGCTAAGAACAAGAAGAAGAAGAAGAAGAAGAAGAGAACTATAGTTCCCTGTTACCAAGAACTAACCTTCTGTAGGAGAATCGTTACAGGAAGAAGAACAAGCACCACTGGGTCAAACAAGACCAGACCACATCTGTGCCACCAGTCCTCAACTCGGAAGGAGGATCGCCATGACCAGTTCGCTACAGCGAACAGGCTACTATAGAGTACATGGCTGGGTCGCGACCTGTGGAGGGAGCTGAGGAGTTATAGGAGGAGTTGAATTCCTGGCGATGTTCAGCGAAATGTTGATGGCTTGGAGACTATCTCATCCTACCTGCATCCACGGCGCTTTTCTGGTTGTGCTGCCGATGTGTTTCCCACCTAATTCTTTACGACGGTTTGTACACCCTCAACTAGAGAGCCTTCACCCGGCAAATCGGCTTTCCTTTAGGTCTATGTACTTGGGTCTCAGGTGTTTCTTTCTTTTAGTATTGGAGAGGGGTGCCTGGTAGTTGGCTGCAGTGTCCCAAGATCATTGAGAGTGGGTATGCGGGTGGGTTTCTACTGTATAGCAGGTTATTTTGTGGTTCCATGCAGGTGGCGGTAGTGGATGTTTAGTATTATGTATAGGTAACCTGGCTGGCAGGTACGATGGGTGGAAGTGCATTCTCTGTACTGTTGATAGCTTTGTATTTCGTGTTCATGTTTGGGCATGGCGTGGAGATGTTAGAAATATGGGGTAAGATGTTTAGTTAGTTTGTAGTTAGTCGTATCCGGGTTGCGCTAACCTGAGGGTCTCACTCGGAACCTCATCATATCCCGTTTTCTGGGGTACAAGCTGAAACAAAATTCGATTGAATTCTACCTACTTATTACTTTAAAACGAATATAAAACATCTTTACGCTCTTTATCAGTATCATGACATTTAGTACTGTTACACGAAGAAAGACTCTTCATGATGAAGAGTTAGAGACAGCTTAGTAAAGGTATTCTTGACAGAAGATAAGGATCTTGCACTATCGGCAACACAGGTGGAGGCCTAGCACTATTGGAGGTTAAGAAGCAGACGAAGAAGAAGAGAAGTATTGTTTGCCATTACTAAGAACTAACTATCTGAAGGGGGATTGATACACTTGAGCTGCTCAGGATTTCAGTATTCTTGGTTACCGGTTTAATGTATTTGTTAACCCTAGTCCTCATGTAAAGTAATAGTTGTAAAGCGGGTTGTATATTAGTCAGAGGACTTTAGAATTGGGGAGGATGTGGAGGAGTGTTGGGTGACAAGCTGCTTGAGAGAGCTATCACTTAGTATCGGCTGCTTATTTTGCAACCATCTATTATGGAACTGAGCTTGTAACAAACCAAGGGTCATATGTGAAACAGGTTCAGGTCCAAGTTAATACTTGTCACAGTTTGGTATTCCAGACCACAATACATCTACCAAGCTACATACCTTTACCTACATTCAGCATGCAACCTGTTGGGATTCAAGGCATGTACATACAATGGAGGTGTCAGAGGGGGTTCATTTACTACTGGTATTGTGATGAACATCTTTAGTTTGACAAAGCACTGCTGGATTAGAAGCAGGAATGTTTGATCGCACATCAGCAGACCATGAATCAGGAACTCACCTACAGGACTACAGGATCAAGTGCGAAAGGCAAGACATTGATAGCTGTACACCAGTATTCACCACACACCAATCTTGAGATATTACCAGATATGGTCATATCCACGGACAGGTCCGAGTCCTCTGAGGTATCAGGTATGGAATGGGCTGCATTTGAGAAAGGTGCTTTGACAGGTGTTAATAGTTGCTTCATTCTCCCCTCATCTAGCATTGTTGAATGCGAGCTATTTGAACTTGTCTGGACCCCCCAATATACTCAGGGTATGGCTAAGGGGCGTTCTGTTCATATGTTTAGGGATGGTGTTCCCGCACTCATCTTGGTTGATAACATGTTTTCGGAGGGCGACTCAGCTTGGTTGTTGGAGGGTAAAGCACCACTCCTTGGCGCCTTTTCACATGTCAGTCTCAGTTGGCTCCCTGGTCACATGGAGATCATTGGCACCAACATGGTTGATATGAAGGCTAAAGCATTTGTTGGACGACCATTGTGATGTCTCATTTGGAAAGCGGTCAGCTTCTGGATGGGCCATGGAAAGCTTGCTCACGTGCTTTAGCAAGAGGAAGGGGGGTCCATGTATGACGCCGAAGAGGACGGATATTACCTTTACAGGAAATCCTCGCTAACAGGCCTCTAATATCCCTTCCGCGTTCCTTCACTAAGTCCTTATATTTAGCAAGAATCATTTCACGTAAAACAGCAGGATCATCCATTGACACATATTCGAGCAGTAGCTCCTCTGAAAACGACAAACAAATTGTGTCCCTAACTCGATCGTAGCCCGCCCAGTAATTGCGAATTTCTGCTTCAATCGCACACTTAGCTGTACCTGTATCTGTATCTTTCGGCAGTGAAGGCTTTATTTTCTCACAGGCAACAATAGGCCAAATACCATCTCTCTGTAGTGTTAGCCTTCTCGGAACTACCCACCTTTGATACTTGGTCTCGGTGAGCTTCTCGAAGTTGATCGTGGTGGACGACATCATTTCGGGAACGAGCGACATAAAGTACTGCAAAAAACTTAAAATGTTGTTATGGCCTGCCTAGAAGCGAGGCCTCGTAACTTGTTCGTGCCT